TAAAAGCGAGAGCACACAAGGGAGGGGTGAGGATAGGTAAGACACCTAAAAAATTAGCTAGCATTTGTTGCCCTTAACGCAGAGAAACTAAAGCAGATACCTTAAAGCAACTGAGGCCAATAGGAAAAGGGGAACAGGTACTAGAGAAAAGGTTAGATCAAAAAGAATTAACCTAGAAGGTAACACCCACGCACAGGAAATCAATGTGAGTCAATGCCCTGTATAGCTATCCTTATCTCAACCAGCAAAAACCCTTGTTCCTTCCTATTATTGCTTATACTCTCTCTTCAACAAAATTAGAGATAAGGGCAAAATAGTTTCTGCAGGGTATTGAGTGGGTCGGGGGGGGGGGGGGGGGAGAAGGAGGGGGCGGAGTGGGTGGTAAGGGAGGGGGTGGGGCAGGGAGAGAAATGACCCAAGCCTTGTATGCACATATGAATAATAAAAGAAAAATGAAAAAAAAAAAAGATCAGGATTGCATTTGATTTAATTTTTGGCGGTATTGGGGTTTAAACTCAGGGCCTTGTACCTGCTAGGAAAGTACTCTTCCACTTGAACCATGCCTCCAGCCCTAGGTTGCACTTTAAAATGATCATTCTGGATTGGAGTCAGGCAGGGAGATAGCCAAATGGCTGTCAGAAAAGTTATGATGGTAGTTGGGGTTAGGGATGTGGTATTTAATCATACGCACAGCCAAAAGGGATTACATGGATGTTGACCATGGATGAGTGAGAAGGAATCAGGATCAGATTTCTGGCTGGCACAACTGGGGGATTATTATTAAGTGCTGACATTGAGTTCTATGTGCCAAAAACTACGCTAAATACTTGACACACATTTATCTCATTTAATCCTTACCACAAACCCGTAGATACCATTATCCTCATTTTACAGAGGGAAACAAGGATTAAATTACTTTCCAAGATTATGGCTGAATCCAGACATTTCTGACAAAGTAAAAAATTAAATATATAAGCTGAGTGCCGGTGGCTGACTCCTGTAATCCTAGCTACTCAGGTAGCAGAGATCAGAAGGATCAAGGTTCGAAGCCAGCCAGACAAACAGTTGAAGCCACCCTACCTTGAAAAAACCCTTCACAAAAAGGGACTGGTGGGGTGGCTCAAGGCGAATACCCAGAGTTCAAGCCCAAGTACCACAAAAAAAAAAAAAAAAAAAATTAAATATATAAACTGGCACATAGGGGAAACGCCAGTGTTTTCCTTTCCTAAACTTTCCTTCAATTACCTACAGCTAACACATCATCCCTTCCTCCTTTACCTTGTTATTATAGAGTTTATTCCTTAGTTTCAGTTAACATATAAAGAAACTCTTATTTCACACTTAGTGTGCTTCTGAAAACTTAAAAGTACAGTGGAAAAGTTATTCAACACAAGCCAAGCAATGGTGGCTCACGACCATAATTCTGGCTACTCGGGAGGCAAAGAGCAGGAGGATGGCAGTTCAAAGCCAGTTCTGGACAAATAGTTCTTGAGATCTTATCTTGAAAATACTAAACACAAAACGTGGCTGTCAGAGTGGCTCAAGTAGTAGAGTGTCTGCCTAGGAAGCATGAGACTCTAAGTTCAGACGCCAGTACTGCCAAAAAAACCCCCAAAAACGTATTCAACAGTTTTTTTTAACTTTTTAATATTATTTTTTAAAATTTTTTTCAAGTCTTTTATTTTATTATTATAAATTTTTTATTAGAATATATTCATTATACAGGGGGATTCATAGTGACAATTCTGATTAGACTTATATTGTACATTATTTACATTGCCCCCATTTTTCTCTCTCCCTGAGTCCCCTCCCCACCCTATTCAATACAGCCTTGACTTTAAAGGAGTATCTATTTTCACAGCACTACATTAAAGATCCTTAAATTATGATTGGAGCAGACCTGCCAGAGGTACTTCAGTGAACTTTTTTACAGGTGTCCAGGATAAGGGTACTTACCTACCATCCTGTAACTGAATAAATACCAAACCATCCCTTTTTCTGAACCCAGGGCAGAGATAAAAGGATTGGATCAGCCCCTGCTCATTAAATCATCATGCAGGTGTCTTCTAGCTCCCCAGAGTAGTGGAAGGTTCATCTTCCTGCCATCACAGCACAATCAGATTGGGACTTCAGCCAGTCAGCCACTCAATACCCTGAAAGGCATTTTACCTATTTGCCATGACCCATCTTTGTTCGCTCTTCTAGGGGAATACGAACAATGGTTAGGACTAGAGATTAGAAAAAGATTAGAAAAAAAGATATTTTCAGAGACCAAGTCAATTTCAAATCTCAGCTACCCCTTAGTATTTTTGAGAGGGACCTCACAAGCAACAGTAGCCCTAGGGGAATATTAATTGGCAACTAAGAAGCTTGGTTCTGCTCTCACAAACAAGCTACTGTGGCAAGAGATGCAATGTCAGAAACCATTCAAAAGTAATGTACTAAAGAGCAAATTCCTTTTTTTTTTTTTTTTTTTTGTGGTGCTGGGGTTTGAACTCAGGGCTTGTACCTTGAGCCACTCCACCAGCCCTTTTTTTGTGATTTTTTTTTTTTAAGATAGGGTCTCTTGAACTACTTACCCAGGTTGGCTTTGAACTGTGATCTTTCTCATCCCCGCCTCCAGAGGAACTAGGATTAAAGGCATGAGCCACTGGCATCCGGACAAGAGCAAATTCTGAGACTGAAAGGTCTCAGAGATTGGAGATTGAACTCAGGGCCTCACACAGCCTTATCAAGAAGTCTTCCACTGTACTGTGATCCCAGCCACAAAAGGTGATTCAGAAGTATCAACATAAACTTGTTAAAATTAGTTTGAGTAAACGTAACAAAGTTGAAGCCAGTCCTTCTATAGCTTTTTCTTTCCCAACCATAATATAAATTTCCCAAAGGAGCACATTTTTCTGCTTCTAAGCAATTTCTTTTTTTTTTTTTTTGTGGTACTAGGGCATAGGGTCTCATTAACTGTTTGCCCAGGTTGGCTTTGAACCATAATCATCCTGATCTCTGCTTCCTGAGTAGCTAGGATTACAGGTGTGAGCCACTGGCAACCAGCCTCTAAGAAATTTCTATGAGGTTGAACAATATGCTTTATTTACTGGGCCTGACTGCTGCTGAGTGGAAGAAAGATAATGAAGTTCTAAGAAGCAAATGTGGTAGTGGCTTCAGGATATCTTCTTGGAGGCCCTGCTTACTTCATAAGTACGGTAATTGTGAAAATAATACAATATATTTAAAACGATTAAGCTGGGCATGGGCATGGTGGTATACAACTATAATCCTAGCATTCAGAAGGGTGAGGCAGGATCTCAAATTTGAGTCCAGCATGGGCTACAGGGCAAGATCCAGTATCAAAAACAAAAACCAAAACACACCACTGTATTACACCACAAGGGGGCAATGTTTGAACATCAACAATTTGAAGTGTTGCTTGGCATTCTACTAGGTTTGTTTTTTGTTCTAGGGTTTAAACTTAGGGCTGTGCTCCTGCTAGGCAGGTGCTCTATACCTGCACTGGACCTCCTCCCCTTTTTGGTTTCATTATTTTCAAATAGGGTCTTGGTGTTCATGTCCCGGTAGGCCTGGACCACAGTCCTATTTAGGCTTCCCAGTAGCTAGGATGACAGCCCCATGCAAGCAAACCCAGCTTTTATTATTGGTTGAGATAGGGTCTTGCAAGCTTTTTGTCTGTACTGACCTCAAACAGCAATCCTCTGAATCTCTGTCTCTGGAGTAGCTAGGATTATGGTTGTGAGCTAGTGCACCCAGCTATTTTCCTTCTAAAACACAATGAAATGGCTGCAGCCTGGGTGACAGGCAGACTAGCTATCTCCATCTCCTGCAGAAGGGGTGCCAACTCTTCTAATACTGGCAGCACTGCTGTCAGGGACCAAGAGAAGCAGACAGAAGGAAAGCAGAACAGCTGTCTTCCCACTGCGGTCAGAATGACATACTCAGGAGTATCTGCTGGGAGGACGTAGGGGTAGTGGGAATCTCCACGTAGAAGATGGATACATATAGTCTAGTGGATCTCAAACTCTAGCAGGCCTAAGAATCACCTGCAGTCTTGTTAAAATACCTTGCTCAACTTCAGGCCCAATTTCCAATTCAGATCACAAGTAGGATCCCATAATTTGCATTTCAAACAAGTTCTCATGGGATGCTGATGCTACTGATCTGAGGATACTTTGAGAACTATTGTTATTGGGTATTTCTGGCTCTCAACAATCCCCTATTTCATCTTTTCTACCATCCACCTACTGCTTTCCATCAACCTGTTACTTCTTTTCCATCATCCCTGCCTTAGTCTCCTTCAGGAAAACCAAAGGAAAGAGAAAACAAGAATGAACATTGTTGCTTTTGTCTTGATTCCTTTTGACAAGAAAGGATTCTAGCACTCTAGTCTGGTGGCTAGATATTTTAGAATTTATTCCAAATACATTTTATATATATATATATATATATATATATATGTTTCCTCTCTTCCTTTCTCAACACTTGTGGGAGGGTGAGGGTAGTTCGTTAAAGAGGCTTCTTTTCCAGGAAGATTTTGTTTTGGGGTTCATAAAAATTGGATAGGATAAAATTGGTAGATACATTCCACTACATTTTAAAAGTTTTGTTCACCTCTTAAAAAAAGTAAGTACCAGTAGGAGAAAAAAAGGGTAAACACAGAAGGTGAAGGAGGGCAAATATGTAGATAAACTTTGTACGTGAGTAAGGAAATAGAACGAGATTTGTTTAAAAAAAGATTTTTTAAAAATTTGCAAATACTAATAAAATTTACCAATTTACTCTTACTACTTAAGGGTACATACAGTTCAGTGGCATTAAGTACATTCACATTTTTGGATAATCATCATCCATCTTCAGATTTTTCATCTTCATAAACTGAAACTCTATATTCTTTCTTTTTTTAAATTTTTTTTGCAGTACTTGGGTTTGAACTCAAGGCCTACACCTTGAGCCACTCCACCAGCCCTTTTTTGTGAAGGGTTTTTTCAAGATAGGGTCTCACAAACTATTTGCTCAGGCTGGCTTCGAACCACAATCCTACTGATCCCTGCCTCCTGAGTAGCTAGGATTATAGGCATGAGTCAATGGTCTCAGCTACTCTGTATCCTCTAAACAATAACTCCTGACTGCTGCCCTCTCCTGTATCCCCTAGCAACCACTATTATACTCCCAGACAACTTTTGGACAGTTCCTCCCCCCAACCCCACTTAATAAAAGAGAAGGTCCACTGCTGACTAATGGTATTGCTTCTATGTATTCAGGCCTTCTTGTATACATGAGTCAGTTTATTGTAGAGAAGGTAACACAAAATGGGGTTGAAGAAAGAAAAGGTAGAGGCACAAACTGGATATGCATCACCCATCCATGGGCCTCAGCAGCCCTGCCATGGATCTGCCCTATTCTTTCGCATCAAGAAGTTGATCTTTCGAGCCATTTCCATATTGTAGATCCTCCGGCAGTTTTCATAGCTCTCCCGCTGTCGCCGGCGACAAGGCTTCTCATAGTATCGTTGTCGCTTAATGTCTTCAACAAGACCATCCATGGTGAGGACTCTGTATAAAGGCAGGCAATGAGGTTAGAAGCCTGGGCTCATTACTACTCTTTTCCAATTTCACAGACTGTCAAAACTCAACTGATCAAAACCATCAGTGTCTGTAAAAATTATACTGGGAAATGGTGGCAATATGGCATTAACTGTCTACTTACAGAGGTCCCAATAAGGATTTCTAATGAAATTAAAAGCAATTATAGATGAGTGCCAGTGGCTCATGCCTGTACTCCTAGCTACTCTGGAGGCAGAGATCAGGAAGATCTCAGTTTGGAGCCAACCCTGGGGAATTAGTGTTCAAGACCTTATCTCAAAAAAACCCATCACAAAAAAGCTCTGGTGGAGTGGCTCAAGGTATAGGTCCTGAGTTCAAGCTCCAGTACCGCAAAAAAAACAAAACAAAAACATGGTTCTTGCTCTTGCAGAGTTTATGGTTAGGGTCATGTTCTCAAACTTTTTCTACTCCAACACACCTGAGGGATATGACACAGTCTCACAAGAACATGGGTTCCCTATGGCAGTGACTTTTCAACCAAGAAAGCATTTCAGAAACTACAAATGGGGCAATCCATTTGTAATTTAGAAAGAAAAAATCATTAGAGGTGATTCCTAGGCAGGTGTGGTATCAGATACCTGCAATCCAAGCACTTGAGAGCTTGAAACAGGAGGATCTCTAGTTCAGAGAGCATGACTGTCTCAAAAAAACCAGCAAAACATATATTCACAGAGAGAGAGAAGATGATTCCCACCTAGTCCATAGTGGAGAATGTAGTTCTGTCCTTACTGTGTTTAAGAATTTGGGCTGGGGGTGTGACTCAAGTGGCAAAACACCTGCATAGTAAGCATAGTCCTTGAGTTCAAATCTCATGCTCCACCCCCCACCAAAAAAAAAAAAAGAAAGAAATGATAACAGTTGAAGTCTGTAAGTCTGAGCAATATTGGGCAATTCCTTATCTAAATACAAGGAAGAGGTGGCTTTTACTGAGAGCTTTAGAATAATAGCCTCATCAATCATTTTTCCATATACAGATGCTCCAATTCCCTGAACACACTTTAGACTTTTGTTGTATTCTCAGGCTAGAACACCATCCCACCCCGTAGCTGCCAACATTCTGACTGAAATTTCTCTCAAATTTGATGCCAAGCCCAGATGCCACCTCTCTAAAATTTTCCCATCTTCTCTTCTTTTGTTTGGTGGGGGAGGACTGGGGATTGAATCCAGGGCCCTCATGTTAAGCAGGCACTCTTACCACTGAGCTGCACCCCTAGTCCTTCATCTGTCTAAAGAAAACAAGCTATTTTATTATATGTCTGCTTGGCAATTATTTCATTCTACCATTCCATTAGTTATCTACATAGATGTGTTTCTCATTAGACTGAAAATCCCTGAAGGCAGAACCCATGTTTTATTAATATTAATCTAAGTATACATTAAATTGATCCCAATCTGTTTCTTTCTTGTCCACCAATTCCTTGCAATGCAGCTTTTCACACTGGATTAATAACTTCTCTAATTCAAACTCACCTCTTTCACCTGCCTGGCAAGGAGAAATCCCTTGAGTTCAAATTTCAGTACCACCAAAACAAAAAATAAACAAAAAACCCCCACCTCATGTCTATTTTCACTGAGCCAAGATACTGTGCCTATTCTAAAACAAACCTAATCTCTAGGTTCCTAAAAACTCTGATGTAATCTACAATATGCCTTTCCCTCTCAACTTCCCATCATTTCGTCCTGGGGAGATCTGGAGACATCTTCTAGGATGCCCTCCATTCCTGGCATTGCTTACATGGCCCCATTCCTGCTTACCCTATCCTTTTACCTCATGCAACAAGTCACAAACACAACTGGAGATACGGAGGTTGAGAAATCGCTATTATAAATGAAAGAAGGAAATGGATGAAGAAAACAAAAATAAGAAAAACTACCAGCTAATTTTGTCCAGTGGGAAACCCAATTCATTGCTGCTATGTTATACCACAAGTCCAAGATAACATCAGATTGATCATGAATTTGAAAAGAACTGGGCTTTAAGTAAATTACAAATATGAATAGACATGGGAACCACTGTCCTTTAATTTCTTCTCCCAGGCTCCTGCTGGTTAATATCAAGAATGAGGGGCTGGGAGTGGAGTGGCTCAAGTGGTAGAGCACCTGTCTAGCAAGCATGAGGCCCTAAGTTCAAACCTCAGTACAGCTCCCCCCAAAAAAATTTTTAAAAAACCCCAAAAAACAAACAAACAAAAAAGGGCTGGTGGAGTGGCTCAAGTGGTATAGCACCTGTTAGCAAGCTCAAGGCCAAGTTCAAGTCCCAATACAGCAAAAAAAAAAAAAAAAAAAAAAAGAGAGGGGCTGGGGATGTAGCTCAGAGGTAGAGTGCTTGCATGAGGCCTTGGATTTGATCCCCAGCAATGCCCCCCAGTAGGGGTGTGGCTCAAGTGGTACAATGCCCACCCAGCAGGCACAAGGCCCTGAGTTCAATCCCCAATACTGCCAGGCAATAGTACACAGGACCCCATCTCCAAAAGAACCAGAGCAAAACTGGACTGGATATGTGGCTCAAGCGGTAGAGCCTCTGCTCTGCAAGCATGAAGTGCTGAGTACAAACCCCAGTCCCGTCAAAAAATAAGTAAGAATTACAAGTGTGCGACTGGTACAAAGATTAGAGAAACACTGGTATAGAAGCACACAGCAGAGGCATTTAACTGTACTCTACAATGAGAAGGTGGTTATGAAGCCTTTCTAAAGCACGAGTTATTTGAAATCTGAAGGGTAAGCAGGTTGTCCTATTTCTATTCTCTTTCTCTATACCAATTATTGTTCTAAAACATAAATCAGATCACACAGAACAGTGTAAGCCCATGATTCCTAGACTTGACTGCACATTAGAAGGCTTGAGAACAATTCTTTAATTCATTTTTGCATATAACATTATGCTTGCTAAACAGCAGATTATCAGTAAATGTATGGCAAAGGTGATGGACAAATGTTCACTGCACAAAGGACTAAGTGACCTTATGATATATGCAGTTCTTGGGGATAAATATTGAAAATGCCTCAATATTACCTTTACTAAAATGGTACATTAGAGTTTATTTTCATTTTTTTTTGCACACTGAAGTTTGAACTCAGGGACTTACATTTGCTAGGCAGGCGCTCTACCACTTCAGTCACTTCACCAGTCAGCTCATTAGAGTTCAGATAGCATTTTTGTATCCATGATCCTAATTATAATCTTATGAAATTGATTAGCTAAGTAATGTCATCTTTTTACAGATTAGGAAACTGAAATGTAGAAGGGCTGACCTGCCCAAGATCAGAAATGGAGCTAGAAGAATTCAGGTCTTTAGTGCCATGCTCTGCAATAATACTCTATCTCAAACAGAAACCACCAAGGTTCAGAAGACAAACCATTACAGTGTCCATGGGTAAAGGAAATAATGAGAAAGGGAGGAACAAGTGAGGCTCTTAAAACTAGGGTAAAGAGGAAAAAGAAAGCTGGGTATGGTGGTACATACCTGTAATCCCAGCACTTGGGATGATGAGGCAGGAGGCTCTCAAGTTTGAGGCCAGCCTGCACTAGGGCTAGGTAGCAAGATCCTGTCTCAAAAAAAAGAAATGGAAGCCAAGATGATACAGCACACTGAAGAAAGGAATGATCTAAATATCTAAGCATTTATTTCTTACTACACTGGTGTTTATTATGTTTAATGGAGGTCACCTTTTGAGCTAGACTAGTATAGTGGAGAGAATACAAAAAAAGGCCCCTGAAAGAAAAGGCAAGATTTAATACCTAATGGAAAAAAGACAAGAAGACTGAATTTGAGAGAATATAAAAAGGACAAAGACCATGGATATAAAATCATCTAGGAAGAGCCTACTGGAAAAACAAAGATAGTTTAAAATTAGGATGAAAGAAAACTGCAGGAGGAGTATCTAAACTCACATACTCCTTACCCTGATGGAGTTTCAAAACTTTGTTTTGAAAAACAAAGGTGATCATCTTACCTAGTAAATGTTTGTGTTGTAAAAGAAAAAGGCAAGAGAAGAAAGAAGAATGTAAGGATGAAGGGGAAGAATAGAAAGAATATAATGATGGAGTTAGGACACAGTGTTTCCTGGATGGTTCTAAATACTTCCAAATTGCAGACCAAATAAATTCTTCTAAGATGCCAGGTGAGGATTCCCTCTCCCTGTACCTTCTAGCCATCTAAAAAAAGCACAGATTAATTTCAAATGCTCTGAAGACCCTAAAGTAGAGGCATCCACTCAACCTCATCTCTAATAGACAAGGATGCAGGAAGACCTTTATAGGACTCAAGAAATGGGGGGGTGGGGGTGAGGTATAGCTTACTGATAGAATGCTTGCCAAGTGTGCACAAGGTCAGCTTATTTTTTATAGGGAGAGTGTTTTTAAAGATGCTTCTGCTTCCAGAGGTTGTTCAAGGACTAGTAGACCAAGAGCTTAGCGTAAACAGATCAACCTAGAGTTCCAGCGCCTGGCAACCTAACGTGAAGGAGAAACCAGCTGCCAGTTTTAGTGAAATTCAACTGATTATGTAAAAGGTTGGTGAGCTGCCTGGAGGGGAAAGCTGGGGGTGGCAGACTCACATGTCAGTATAGCCAGCCTACATCAGGACCAATGTGTATGCAAAAGGACTCAATGGGCTCAGAAGCTGACCCACCAGGAGTAAACAGGGCCAACTAGACATGCTTCCAGTGTGCCAGCCAATCACACAGGGCTTCCTAGCAACCCTGATTCTCCATCTCCTCATCTCAGGGCATCAATGAGGGCCCCTGGTTATATAACAGGCATTTTGTGGCATCTCAATTGGAAGACACATAGGCTGTTTCCTTCGTAAAACTCCCTCTGTGCTGCAAATATGGTAAAGATTTAATTTCCTTTCTTCTCTCTCTTGCTTTCCTACCTGTTGTAATTAGAGCATAGGAGACTTATTTTAAACTACCAACTATTTAGAAAGCTTAGATAAGGAAAAGCCTGAGATATGAAAGAGGTATACAGAAAAAGTGAAGAAAGAGATGATATTAGAGAAAAGCAGAAAAAAGGAAGTAAATCAGTTAGAACCATGATCACTCTGATCTCTGCCTCCTGAGTAGCTAGGATTTTTTTTTTTATCCTCTTCTTTTTTAGAAAAATCTTTTTATCCTAAAAATGCGATAAGGAGTGAATTTAAACTGACAAAATAGCCTTCCTAAAGATTACAAAAAATCATTCTCAGCCAGGCGCCTGTGGCTTACATCCATAATTCTAACTACTCAGGAGGCAGAGATCAAAAGGATTGAGGTTTGAAGCCAGCCTGGACAAACAGTTTGGGAGACCCTATCTCAAAAATATCAAACAAAAAAAAAGGACTGGTAAAATGACTCAAGTAGAAGAGTGACTGCCTAGCAAACATGAGACCAAGTTCAAACCCCAGTATCACAAAAAAAAAAAAAAAAATCATTTTCATAAAAGCTAGCTCCTTTCAACCAATGTACTCTTACATTGGCTTCCCAGACAATCCTAGGCTCCAAGTTCCAATTTTTCAAGTTCCTAAGGAAGCCTAAGAGAGATTAAACCTCATTCACTAAGTCTCTGGGGCCTGAATTTCATTTATTTTTCTAACCATCCCTATTCTGTTCGAACTCAGGGCCTACACCTTGAGCCACTCCACCAGCCCTTTTTTGTGACTGGTTTTTTCGAGATAGGGTCTCATGAACTATTCACCCAGGCTGGCTTTGAACTGTGATCCTCCTGATTTCTGCCTCCTGAGTAGTTAGGATTATATGTGTGAGTCACCAGTGCCAGGCAACTTTGTGCTTCTTTACTAGAGTACTTAACAGAGTGCCAAGAGAACCAAGAGTTTCCAGATAAATTTAATGCATCTTCCTGGAGCATCATTCCCACTCCCTCCTCATTTTTGTGTTGTGCTAGGGATGGAACCCAGGGCCTTGGACATGTGAGGCAATCATTCTATCACTGAGCTATATTCCCAGTCCTGGAGCACCAATTTTAACTGGAATGAGGATTGGGATGCTAGCCCAGATGCAACAGCAATGAATTCTAAGTTTGTCAAAATTTTTATTTTTACTTTTTCCTATTAGTGCATATTAATTGTACAAAGGGGTTTTATTGTGATATTTCCATGCATAATGCACTTTGATCGAATCCACCCCCTCTAATACTTTCCTTATCCATCCCTGTTTAAATAATTTATTATCACCAAAAATTTTAATTAAAAAAAAAAAGTGGGGGGGAGGTAGTTTAGTGGTACAGCTCTTGCTAGCATGCATGAAGCCTTGATTCTGCATTTCCTATCGAGGCAAAACCCCTATAGTCCCTTCACTTTCCTCTGTTGTTAAGGATACTTCAGCAGTGCTGGGGACTGGTGGCCCATGCCTGTAATCCTAGCTACTCAGGAGGCAGAGATCAGGAGGACTGAGGTTTGAAGCCAGTCCAGGCAAAGTGAAAATGAGACCCTATCTGAAAAATACCAACACAGAAAAAGGGTAGGCAGAGTAGCTCAAGTGGTAGAGTATGAAGTGCCTGCCTAGGAAGTGCGAGGCCCTGAGTTCAAACCCCAATACTACCCAAAACCAAAAGGAGTTGGGGGGTTACTGCAGCAGCAAAGTTTGACAAACACTAAAGTAAGGGACGGACAAAACAAAGAGGAACATTTACATGCATTACATTGATGTGTGATGAGAGTTTCCAAAGTACCACTTTGGTAAATGCAAGGGATATACAAATGAAAAAGCATACATAGGTCACTGCCCTTAATGGTCTATAGTCTCTTACAATGATTTTCAATCCTGGCTGAACATTAAAATCTCATGGGGCATTTTGAGTCACTTTTTTTTCGGCAGTACTGGGGTTTGACCTGAGGGCCTCATGCTTGCTAGGAAGGTGCTCTACCACTCAGCCAGTCCCTCATGGGGCATTCTGAAAAATGCTGCTGCTCAGGTGCTATTCCTTAGATATTCTGATTTAGTTAAGTTAGGCTCTGGCACAAATAAGTTTTCATTTTTAAAGCCAGGAATGTGTTGCCCTCAGGAGGCTAAGGTGACAGGATCACTTGAGCCCATGAGTTTGAGTCCAGTCTCAGTAATATAGCAAGACCCTGACTCAAAAAAAGGGGGAGAAGGGGCAGAAGAACTTCAAAAGAAGTGTGAGGTTGCTGTTTTAAAAAAAAGCAGAGAAAGTAAAGAAAGGCAAAGAAAGGCAGGGAGGAAGGGACCAGAGAAATTTGAAAACAGATTCCTGAGTAAGATCTGAGATAGTACCAAGCCAGAAGGTATCCATACGGACCTCTTCTGTCATTGGTTTATTTTTCCCCTCACCCACCACCACTTAGGAAGGATTTTAGATAAAAATAAAACGTAATTAGCAAAAAAGAAAAACAGGAAAAGCAAAAGCAAAAATGTAGTATTGATTAAATAAAAAATACAATGACTGAATAAAGATTCAGCCAGAAAGAGGTCAAGGGAAAGTTGGCCTTCTACTTCTGCAGACCGGGTATCAATAAAGACATAATCAACTCCTTCAGATAGGAGATTAGAAATGTATTGTTTCTTACATTGATCTTTGTTTTAAATTTTTGAAAGTGGAAATGGGGGACATATTCCATTACACAAAATGCATAAAAGGAATGAATGGTATTATTTAAAAATGAGATTAGCAATAGGCTAAACAGTCAAGGATTGGTTGCAAAGTGTCAGTCTATAAGAAAATTCATTTTAATACTAGTAGTAAATTGATTCTCATGTCAAAATAAAGTTTATTAATTATTTTCTCATTTTTTAAATTCTTCCACCACCTGATAGTCAAGGAAAATAGGAGAAAAAAATAGCTAAATTATACTCTGTCTCTCAAATAAGCAAATCACCCAAAGTAACACAAGGGAAAAAACTTCCTTATCATGACTTCCAAATTGGGGTAACAACTCACATATAATTCTTAATATGTACCAAGCACTATCCTAGGCACTTTATCTATGAGGAAATGGAGGCAAGAGACATTAAGTAGTTTATCAGATATTATGAGGCTAGTAAGTGGCAGAGCTGGAATCTGAACCAGGAAGTCTGCACTTCTTTATTGGCTGGGGTTGGGAGGGAGGATAAACTGGGATTTTGAACTCAGGGTCTTCCACTTGTCAGGCAATGCCATACCACTTGAGCTACACCCCCAGCTTATTTCTCAAATAGGGCTTCATGATTTTCACCTGGACTGATCTCAACCATAATCCTCTTCCTTCTAATGCCTCCAGTGTAGCTGGTACTCCAGGTGTGAACCACCACACTTAGCTCGTTTGTTTGTTGAGATGGGGTCTTGGTAACTCTCTGCACAGGTGGCCTGGAACCTCAGGTCTCTGCTTCCTAAGTAGCTGGGATTACAAGCCACCATATCTGGATTTCAAATAAGGATTCTTAACCAGAAAAAGGCTGTCAAAGACCTCTTCATTTTTACAAAAGGTAGCAAATAATCTAGTAATATAGAACAAAGAATACTGCACTAAAAGATGTGTGCTTGTTAGAAGCATGGCTCAAGTGGTAGAGCTCCTGCCAAAAAAAAAAAAAAGGAAAAGATCTCTGCTTGCCAGGTGCACTTCTGTAATCCCAACACTCAGAGAAGTGGAGGCAGGAGGATTTCAAGTTCTAGGGCAGCCTGGGCTACACAGCAAGACTCTGCTTCAACAAAACTAAAACAAAGCAAAATGTGTGCTTAAGGGGTCAGTGGTAGAACATTTGCGTAATATGTGCATGACCCTAGGATCAATCCCCAGCACCACAAAAACGAAGTGTGCTTTCTGCTCCTCTACACCATTTAATAATTAAATGACCCAAGAAATTTAATTTAATCAATCTTTGTAGGCTTCCCTTTCTTGTGAAATAAGCTACTACATTGAAAGCTTTAAGGCAGACAGCCAGCACATATAACTCTTAAGATCTCTTTTCTATATACAATTCTTGAATAATTCAACTCGCCACACATTTGTTTTTCCAAACCCTGCTTCACACTGAGGAGAAAAAATGATGAAGGAGGCATTTCAGAAAATCAAATTCTTGCAACCGGTGAGAAAGCAAGCTAAGAAATTTCAAAAGAGTAAACATTTGACCTGGCACTGGTTTGAGAACAGTCGAAGGCAAGTGGAGAGAGAATAACCACGGCACTTCCCAGAAAATTGGTCTTTTCCTTTACGATTACCTGTTTAGGGTTCTGTAAGCGCCTTCCACGTTTCCTTCCTGTACCATAACTGTCCTAGCAATGAACTTCAGATGTCTTGCCATGACCTTGGATTTAAGTCTTCACTCTGACCTACAGGGTGAAGTAGAAAGGGCGAGGAAAGCACAGAGACCAGGTAAGAAAAAGAAACACGACAGCATACACACGTTAACGATCATTTTATTCAATGTCTGTTAATGGAACGTGGGAGTCTTCCTATCTTAGAAAGTACAAGCGAATCGGTAAAGACTCCCTTGTCCAAAAAAAAAAAAAAACACCACAGAAGACTCCGTTGTCCTCTAGCACAGGAAGAAAAGAGACGGTAGCCAGGCGTCACCACCTAGATGCATTTTCCGGCGGCGGAAGACTGGAGCTGCAGGGACGCGCCGCAGGGTCCCCCCTCGCCCCAGGAGGATTTAGACTGCCAATTGGAAAATGAGTCTTGGTCCAGTCTTTAAGGAAAGGGCGACAGAACCCAAACCTGCCCTCCCGCCACGCCCGCCTTTTTTCCCAGCCTTTCCTCACCCGGCGCCCTCCGGACTCAATTGACACGAAGCCCGCTCGCGACCGGAAGAGGAAGTGACGCAATCCCAGCGCTGCGCAAAGACATCTGGGCCGAGGGGGGAAACGGTGCGTGGAAACCATAAGAATGTTCTTTTTGTTCTTGGTGGGAAGCTGCTGCTTGCCCCGGGGCTGGATTTTACACCTGACAAAGCAAAAACTACTCGTTGACTCACGTTCCGCCGAAACAGCTTCCTTGCCTTCCTACGGATTCGCAATCCTGGGGCCTCTGAGGTCAGCCCTATTCCATACCCCTTAATCCTATTAAGCCCTTAACAGCGATTTCTTTTTCTGGACGGAAAGTAAGAGAAATAGGCAACAGTTCCTGAGCATGCTTCCTGTTTTCTCTTTGGAAAAGACACAGATCTGCTTCCCGGATGAAAAACAGCTCCACATCCCTCCTCTGCCTAAAAACTAAGGAAAAGAAATGAACATACAGTGAGTTTTCTGTAACATCTTCCTAGCCATTTCTCTATAGTCTTTCACCATAAAGTGAACTCACTAAAGACATGGGAAACGCCTTAGGGACTTAGAATCAAAGACTTTTCTGTCAGCTTTGCTATTTGCCTCCTAGCAAGAGCTGGTAGAAATATCTCCTTTTCTTTTTTCATTTTTATTTCTTCCACACTGTTGAGTCATTCTTTATTCTACACATCCGTTTATGGTTGCTCATATAAGTTCAGATACAATGGCTACAGAAAAATGCACCTCCCCTAGGACACACAGATGCATCCTCATGGGTTATGCTAACAAGAACTCACAAAAAACTTAAGCCAGCCTCATAGTAAGCCAGGTCCAAAGTACCAAAATAGAGCTAGAATGGGACATTATTATGCTTACAAACAAACTTTACTAAATGTCTATCCCATGCTAGGGTCTGTTGATACCATTCCAGTGCCTCTTGCACCACTAAATGACAATGTATAGACATTAAAAAAAAATAGTAAAACAAGGTAGGGTGTAATAAAGTGCAAAATAAATTATATTGACAACAGCATAATATGGTAGAAAGGCACTGGATTAGAAGTCAGGAGGTCTGGGTTGTATCCCAGTTCTGATACTTATCAGGTATATGACTTTGAACAAGTCACTTAAACCAAGGGTCTGCAAACTAGTGCCTGCAAATCAATCCATTTCCACCCCTGTGTTTGTAAATAAAAGTGTTGGAACACAGTCATGCTCATTTGTTTATTAGATATGGCTGTTTGAGGCTACAATGGCAGAGCCAGGTAGGGAAAATGGATATACGGCCTAAACCTAAAATACTTACTATGCAGCCCTTGCCAGATTTAAACTCTCAATTTATTTCTTCATCTGTAAAATGGCAGTAATATATACCCTGTTGATCTAAAAAAATTTGTTATGTCTATCAAGTAAGGTAAAAATACAAATAATTTTGAAAGGAATAGGGAAAGTAGCATTTTTGAATGCCTACTACATACCAAACCCTATACTAGGTGTTTTATGCATACAATCCCATTTGATGTAGTAAAAGGCTAAAGACTAAACCTATACAACATGTTTAACAGAAAGACTGATGGGGAGAAGGACTTAAGTTAGTCATTGAATGAAAAGTAGGGTTTAGGATTAACAGAGACAGAAAAGGTTGGGCAAAGTGAACATCATGAACAAGAGTTTTGAGGCAAAAAGGCTTTCAGTATTGGGAATGAATTTGAAAACTGCAATAGAAGGAAAGGGAAGAAGAAGCAGAGGGAGAAAGCCAGTGACTAAAGATTTTGGACTTTCTTCTTATGGCAGTGGGGAGCCACTGAAGGATTTAAAGAGAAAACAGCATGCAGGGTCTAAGGGCATGGTTCAGTTGGTAGAGCGCCTGCCTAGCAAGTGCAAGACCCTGAGTTCATAAACCAGTACAAAAAAAAAGTCAGAAAATGACATGCAAAGCACTGTTCTAGGAAAATCACAATCTGGTTATAAGTGTGAAAGAATTAGAGGTAAGAGAATCTATTGCCAGCAAATGTCTAGACCAGAATGGTGGTGGTGGAATGACTAAGAAAAAATGAATTTTAAGAGACATTCCAAATAAAGAAAAAAAAAAGGATTTGGTGACCACATGCCCCCAAGTTTTAAGCTGAGTTATCTAGAAAAATATTGGGGAAAGAAAGATTTAAACACCATTAAAAAGGGCTGGAGGCATGGCTCAAGTGAAAAGGAGGCCTTGAGATCAATCCCTACTACTACCCCCCCCCCCAAAAAAAATGATAGCACTAACAGAAGAGGGACTAAACATGGAGATCAGGACATGTTTGAAGTATAATTTCATTGGTCATCCCTGGAAAAAACACTAGACTGGAAACCAAAAGTACTGTACCATACATTATGTTGGCTTGGACAAATCACCTAAGTTTCCTCATGTATAAATAAAGCTGTTGGGTAGAATTAGATACAAAAAAGTGTATCTTTTTTCAGAAATACTGAAATTTTCAATAATTTTTTTTTTGTGTCAGTGATATATAAATAAACTTCCTTAGCAGAAATGTATACCTTGCTGGCGGAGTGGCTCAAGCAGCACAGTGCCTGCCGAGCAAGTGGGAGGCCCTGAGTTAAGCCCCAGTACCAACAACTACAACAAAAAACAAGCCAGGCGCTGGTGGCTCACACCTGTAATCCTGTCTATTCAGGAGGCAGAGATCAGGAAGATTGCAGTTCTTTGAAGCCAGCCCAGGCAAATAGTTTTCGAGACCCTGTCTTGAAAAAAAGCCATCACAAAAAAGGGCTGGTGCAGTGGCTCAAGGTGTAGACCCTAAGTTCAAATCCTAGTGCTGCAAAAATAAATAAATAAATGTATGCCTTTCAGGGGAAAGGTTAATACTGGAGATGAAGGTTTAGCAGTCATCTAAATTGAGGCACTAATTAAAGCCACAAAAGAAAAATGAAACTGTTGTGGAAAGAATGTAGTCAAAGAGAAAGGCCAAGGCCTGAGATAGGGGAACCCCTATACTCTGGTGTAGGCAAAAGTGGAGTCATTTAGAGATCTAAAAGTTGCTGCCAGTTAGGTAAGAGGAGAATGAGGATAGTGTACTGTCATGGGATCCAAGGGAGGAGAATTTCAGTAAGCATCGTGGAGTGTCAAATGATACAGAGAACATGAAGTTCTCTTGGTAAAGGGTACTTCTTGGTTAGCTATTGATTAGGTGCAAACTACAGTATAATACTGACTTTGTGGGCTCATTAGTGACTTTGGAAGATGTAACAAAGTGAAGGCTAGGCTGCATAGGGTTAAGGATCAAGTAGTAGAAAAGAACCAGAAAGACTACTCTCAAGAATTATGAGCCAGGCTCCTCATGCCTGTATTCCTAGCTACATGAGAGTCTGAGATCAGGAGGATTGTGGTTTGAAGCCAGCCTGGGAAAACAGTTTGTGAGACCCCATCTCCAGAATAACCAGAGCAACATGGAAGTGTGGCTCAAGTAGTATAGTGTCTGCTTTACAAGTGCAAAGCCCTGAGTTCAAATTCCAGTCCTACCCACACTTGTAAAAAAAAAAAAAAAAAGGTATGGAGAGGGCTGATGATAGAGCATTTGCCTAGCATGCATGAGACCCAGGGTCTTATCCTGAGGAGAAAAAAAGAATTATGGAGAAAAAGAACGAGCATTATCAGGCTTAAGAGACATTTTCAAGGAGATGAGACCTGATCACACTGATAGGGGAAAGGGGAAATACATGGTGCAGCAAATTTCATAAGTAAAAGGCAATAAAAAAGAAAACTGGAGAGGTTCGCCTTAAAAAGGAAGTCGTATTTTTCTGAAATGCAGGGAGACAATTATTCATTGAGAACAAAGGGCTTGAAAAATGGGAGAAAGATGTCTGATTAGCTGTGAGAAACATGCTAAGAAGCCAGTAAGTAATGACTAAGATGACAGACTAGTCTGATACCATGCAGAGGCTTCAGATGGGAGAGGAAATGGTTTTAGTGGAAACTGGGACAAATCAGAAAAAAGAGTAGTACACAGAGAAGATGGAAATAGATACATTCGTGGACCTCATTTTTGTGTCCTGGTAACACTGAGCTGCTTTCCTTAGTCTAGCTTACATCTAGCAGTTGTACCTTTTTGAATAAAGATACAGTCCAGTGTCTCAGAGGGTATCTCCCCACCTGACTCAGACAATTCTAGGGTACCCCACCCTCTTCAAACTGGCAACCCCACCCATGCACCAGTGGCTCAGGTCTGTAATGTTAGCTACTCAGGAGGTAGAGATCAGGAGGATGGAGGTTCAAGGCCAGTCCCAGGCAAATAGTTTGTGAGACCCCATCTCAAAAATACACAACACAAAAACAGCACAGTTGCTCCGGTGGTAGAGTGCCTACCTAGCAAGTGTGAGGCTCTGAGTTCAAATCCCAGTACCACCAGGAAAAAAAACAAAAAACAAAAACCTGGCAACCCCAGTAGCTGTTTTGGCTCATTTTGTCCGTCTTCTGGCAGCAGGAGGTTACATATGTACTTACCCACAAGCATCAACAGCTCTCATCAAAGCAAACAGCTAACCCAGAGCAGAAGAACCTGCTAGTCTGGGCCAGCTGGAATATTACATGGAGGAGAGACACAAAGGAAAAGGTACTTGTCTCTAAGCCTGAACTACAAAATAAACTCAACTCTGAACCCTATAACATTTTCCAAGGATATTCCCTAGTAAAATAGCAGCAAAAGTCATTTTACTTCTCACAGAATTCATGTTGTCCCATCCAGACTAACTTGGTAGAATGGAATTTGTGTTCATAAACATCATCTTTTCTGCAGCTCAGAGGATAAAGATTGGTATTTGAGACAGAAAGTTAGCCCAATCAACAAAGTGTTTAGGTAAAAAAAAAAAAAAAAAAGCTTTAATCTGAAAGGATTTATCTTCCTTCAACACAAATGCACACATTAAAAGTAAAAAATACATAAACATATATTTACACAAACTGGTCAGTTGCACAGCCTGGGTTAGGGACTGAGGAGACGGGCATTGGGAACAACTGGAGGATGACTTCTTATCTGTTCTAGGTGCTCTGTGGTCATCTCTCTGGCCATGGTGGGTAGACCAGGAGGGGATAAAGTGCAGCTCCAGTCTGATGACAGAGTTACCGGCAAACTGTGACAACGAGGCCCCTCTCCAGATAGTTTCTTAAGATCACCAGGGATTACAGAAGACACTGTAGTAGGTGGGACTAGAGTGGGTGGGGCAGAATGGGCAAAAGGCTGTGCTCCATGCTGGAGGAACAGGATAACACCAATGCTGGTTCTAGTGCCTGAGGGCCCATGGCTAATGGAGATGGTACCTGGGGAACCAAGAGGGGGGTTGCAAATTGGAGTAGTGTGGATCCAGGTGAGGTTCATAGCTGGCCATTGTGTAAAGTGCCAAGGCTGGTTTGGTTTGAAAACTAAATGTCCTAGCTGTGTCTGGTCCATCTTTTCCACAGGAGGTGCAGGGGAAGAAGGAGTTGAATCACTGTGGTGGCTTGGAAAATGCTAGGGAGAGGAAGCAATGAGAAAAACCAAAAACAAAACTGTTAAGAAAGCTTTCAGAGCTGGGTGCTGGTGGCTTATGCTTGTAATCCTACATACTCAGGAGGCAGAGATCAGGAGGACCAAGGTTCAAAGCTAGCCTGGGCAAATAGTTTGTGAGACCCTATATTGAAAAAAACCCATCACAAAAAAGGGCTGGTGGAGTGGCTCAAGGTGTAGGCCCTGAGTTCAAACCCCAGTACTGCAAAAAAAAAAAAAAAAAAGCTTAACTCCACCTAGCTGCTTAGACCTTTGCTTTCCTCAGGAACTCAGTTTGCAATGCAAACATACCTTGTTTTGTGCAATAGATATGTTCTTGCCAGATCATGATTTAGTACAGTTTTTAGTAATCAAGTAATATGTATTCAACAAAGAATTGAGGGCCAACTATGTGTCATACACCATATTAGGCACTGAATATTCAAAAATGAGAAGAATAAAAGAATCCTATAGGTTCTATTTATAAAATTATTCTTTTTGAATTTCTTTAAAGAAAAGTCTTTTCTTTTTTGGCAGTACTAGGGGTTAAACTCAGGGTCTCACACTTGCTAGGCAGGTGCTCTACCACTTGAGCCACATTGCCAGCCAAGAAAAATCTATTTTTTGTAGTGTTAGGAAATCAAACCCAGGACCTCATACATGCTAGGAACACACTCCACCACTGAGCTATACGCCCCCAGCCAGAGAAGTCTATTTTTAATTGGAGTCATCTTTTCCCATTTTCTGTATTTTAAATACTTTTTAGTTTTCTAAGACAGTGTTTTCCTATGTAGCTCAGGATAGCCCCAACTTAAGATTCTCCTGCCTCAGGCTCCCAAATTCTAGGATTACAGGCGTGAACGACCACACATGACTGTATTTTAAACTTTTAACAATATGTTAAGTGTTTTTTTTTGTTTGTTTGTTTTTTGTGGCAGAACTGGGGTTTGAATTAGGGCTTCGCACTTGTAAAGCAGGTACTCTACTGCTTGAGCCGCACTTCTAGTCCAGTTTTTGCTCTGGTTATTTTGGAGATGGGGGTCTCATGAACTATTTTCCAAGGCTGGCCTCAAATCACGATCCTCCTGATCTCAGCCTCCCAAGTACTAGAATTACACGCATGAACCACAGGTGCTTAGCTTGAGTGGGTTTTTGAGACAGGGTGTCACTCAGTACCTCAAGCTAGCTGGAACTTGTTATATAGCTCAGGCTGGCCTCAAACTCATGATCCTCCTAATTGCTGGTTTTGATTTTTTTTGTGGTGCTGGTACTGAACCCAGGACATTGCACATTAGGCAAGAGTTTTATCACTGAGCTGTATCCCCACACCTTAAGTTTGTTGGTAGTTTTTTTTTTTTTTTCAGTACTGGGGTTTGAACTCGGGGCATTCTGCCACTTGAACCACACCTCTAGCCTCTCTTAAGTTCTTTATCAAGTATAAACTAATATGCAGGCAAAATCCTGCTGCTTATTTTTAATCAATTATTTTCACAGCACTAATAACTACGGTTGACTGAAAACAAGGATAGGTCATTATGTACAAGAGGCTCCCCTCTCCCCATTACTTGAATGCCATGTAAATATCCTATTATTTGAAGGCACAGCAAATAGGTCACCTGCATACCAGGTCTAAATCGCTCTACCCTATAGATGTCCCATGGGTGCCCTCTCCCTGACTCCCAGAGAGAGGGTTTGGCACAAGTTTACTTGGACAGGAGTCAACAGATGGACAAGAGAATGGTTTTGGGGCAATAAGAAAGGATTTTAAGAGAAAAGTTGAGGCCTCTTCCTGCATGTATCATTTGGCCAGGTAAAAAGCCTTCTGTATCCATGCAGAAAGCAGCCTTCTGTATGTATGTAGACAGGCTGCAATGCAAGGGATAGGACTAAACTTCATGGAGTTGTGCCAGGTATCCAAACAAAATACAACAAAAAAAAAAAATTTAGGCAAGACAAATCTAGAAATCAAGACAATGCAGGAGGTTTAGGCATTCCCTGCCCTGAAAAGAAACTTGAAAAGATCCAGAGCAAAATGGAAGGGGGGGAATAACACATTTCTATATGCATAATTCACTTCCTGGATTATTCTCCCACCTCTGCCTCAGGTTTTTAAGTTCTTACCTTGATCAGTTGATGTTTGCTACTTCCCAGTGATGCCTTCTGGGCAGTGATATGAGGAAACCAAATCTTTAACATCCCTTCTACTTGTAGCAGAGTCCCTAGATAACGCTCTCTGTGAAAAGCACATTTTAAAAGAACCATTAAAAATGTGAAAAGAGCAACAAGCTATGACTTTAGAGATCTCCTTTTATGAGGTACTGACAAAAGAACTAGAGGGACTTACCCCATCTGTGGCTTCTGCAAAACACCTACAATTCGCTGAATCCTGTCCATTGCCACACTCTGCTGGAAACTGCTCAGTCCTGGGTCACAGAGACAGAAAGATTAAGGATTGAGATCCAAGAGGAAAGACAGAAGGGGTTTAAAACTGATTCACTTAATGAAATTAAGTTACAGAGTTAAAAAAGGAATAATCTAGGCCCCAAAGAGTTAAAAGACCTAAGAATTTGAAAGAGAAATCTAACCAAAAAGAAAGTATTCAGTAATTACCTCTCTCAAAGCGACCCATCTTCAACCCATTCAGAAGGTCTGTGAGGGGCCGTATGAAACCTTGGAGCTCTTTACACTGTAGGAAAAAAGCACAAATGCTATAAGAACACTAAAACTGCCCACACCAGTAATGATTCCAGTTCTGGAGCCAATACTGTCTTCTTAGGTCTGTATCAACCAGTTAGGTGTTTAGCTCTACAGCAGTGTTTCTTCTTCTCTGCTTTCTCTTACCTTCTGAGCAAAGAGCAGGTCTCCCTCTGTGGTACAACCTTGGATGTTTAGACTGGTCTCCAATTCACCAGCTCTTGTTCTTTTGACCCCAGATCCTCGCTGTTCCGAGTGAGATGCTGTATGTTGGTTACCGGAAACCTTGGTTCGATGCCTGCATCGGATAGGACCCGGACTGGACCGGGAACCTCCCCTTTGCCCAACAGTGTCTGGCCTGGGCCCATGGGCGCCCTTGTCCTCCCTCTCACTATCGGAGGGAAAGCCAAAGTCACTGTTCACTGGGGAGGTAGAAAAAGAGGGAGAGAGAGAGTAGGAGGAATAAGAAGAAACGCTAGATGGAGAATCCATAGGTCCAGAAGCAGGGGCTGGAGAGCAGCTCCTGTAGTACCCAAAGATCGGAACCTGCAACTGAAGAGCAAAGCGAGAGAGTTTGGACTAGGAGACTGGGGTGTACTGCACGGGCTAACACCCCCTTTTCCCATCCCCAAAAGAAAAAAAAATCATCTCCCCCACCCCCTAAAAAACTGGGACTGCCTCTCTGGTTTCTGTATAGTAGCTCTTGGCCTGACATAGCCTCTGTTCGTTCCTCCCTCTGTTCCGAGTAAATACCTAACTTGACACCTTCCCTTCGGCCCGCTGTTCACCTCAGCAGTTCGTTTCCCAGCCTGACCCCATAGTCAGCGTATCTACCTGAGGCCCCCGCCACGCCACAAGCTAGCGGTAAATCCCCGCACCCAAACCCACCTAGGTACCCCTAAAGGGACCGCCCACATGCAGACCGGCCTCCAGCCCTTTTCCAATCTCATGATCAAGATTTCTGTGCTGGTACCTCTGTGATCAAGTCTGCCAGGTGATGCAATCCCTCCCAACACCAAGATCTGTGTGCAGTCCTCCAAACCCACCCTCTCTGAGTCCAGTTCTCCGCAGCGGCTCGCTTTCAGGCTGCTGAGTCTCCTTACCTGTGTCAGTCAGCTCAGCTAGGTTCGGTCTCCAACTCCTTCGGTCTCTCCCTGTCTCGGCTACCCACCTCCGCCTCACTCTCTGTGGGTCCCGCCCCTTCCCCCTCCCAAACACGTGCGGCTCGGCACGTGCCTCCCCCTGCGTACACAGATCTCCAGTTGTCATTGGTTAGTTAGAAGCTAACACGTGACTCTCAATACAGAAGTTCACAACCCATTTGCTACAGCACACAGGGGCTCGGCTAATAGAGAAGCGGCCATGTGATGATTGGCTGGAAGGAAAGCATTCCGTGCTCCGCCCCTACATGCGGCTGCGGGAGAGGACCCGGTGATGAGAAAAGGAGGAGGATGAAAAAAAAGAGTGAAAAAGAAGGAAGGGGAGGAAAAGGGCGGAGCCCGTGGCCTTAAATAGGATGGTGATGCGCGGGAGACACACGGCTCCAGTGTTCAGAGAGTGGCAGTATGACTGGAGGCGCGTGCCTTGGGACGTGGGAACTCGGGTTCCGCCTTCCGAGCTAACCCGTCTGCCTCTTTGAGCGCCTCTGCTCACGAGCTCAGCACGTGGAAACCATCAGCAAGTTGGGTCTGCAACGTGTGTGGGAGAATGGATGTGTGACACTGTGTATCCGGTCCCTATCTCCGCGGCCCAACCCTCGTGACTCTCCGGCTTCTGTTTCACCCTCCCCTTCTCTTCTCCAAGCTGGGCGCCGCCTGCCCTGTAGGGTGAGGAGGGTGGGGACTGCGGCCGAGAACACCGCGTCCTCTTCTGGGCTCCCGCTGGGGCGGCTCCTCCAGCCCTTTCCTTACATAACCTGCCACGCACGTTACTAGCTCAGATGCCAACCCGCCAAGACTCCAGAGGTCAAAGCCGAACTCGGTTGTTCTGACTTTTCTGCCCAGGCTTTTTTGAGCCTATGCCCTGAAGTCTCTGATTCTGAGCACCGCGCACAGAGTAGGGTAGGTCCCTGATCTCCTAGGTCCGGCTTCAGTTACTTTGTCTCTGGAGAAGATTTAAAAGAACTTTGAAGGAGGAAGTCCAGAATTTATAGAATCTCAAAGAGAGCCGAGACGTTATTGTTCGTTGTCCATTGCAATATTTATAGAGAACGATGGAGAAAGGGAGCCCGATCCAGAGACTGTGTGTAGGGTGGTTGAAATTATGACATGGGAGAGACCGCAAGGGGGCAGCCAAGTTCTAATTAGGGTCCCCAACATAGAGACTTAAGGGGGAAAAAAAAGGTCCGTGCCATAATTACTGAATTCAGAAGGTCAATATTTGAACAGAGGTAGAGATGGACAGTTGGAGACTGCGTAATTATTTTAAATGTTCTAATACTTAATATTTTACGTATGTTTAGCAATGTACTTATTTGTAAAATAGAGAAAGGATTTCTAAATCTCAACCCTGTTTCTCTAAACATAATGTCTCAACACCATATATAACAGAAATAGAGAGCTGGGGGCATAACTATGGTCTGTAAGTAAACTGTCATGTGTGGGTGTTTTCTATTCCACTCACAAGTCCAGGTTTATTCACAGTCCATAATTCCCCCTAATCTATTGTCTTCTAGCCCTTTCTAAGGTACCTTTCCTGTTCCCAATCCTGCTGCTGTCTTTAGTGTTGACTTTGGAACAAATCCTCACAAAGTAATTTAGTAACTAAATTATTTCATTTATTTTTTATTTTATCTTCAAATTTCCTCTTGCCAAAGCTTCATCCAAAGAGTTAAGGCAACCTTCTCGAACCTAAAAAAAGAAAAAAAGAAAGGAGAAAACATGATCACCAGACCCAGGAAGCTTCTTCCAGGTCCCCACCTTTATGAAAACTCCACAGATTTCATATTCTGAGCTGGAGTTTCCCTGTTCTAGTTCCTGAGAAAAATATGTCTCCTCCCCTCTTCACTCCTTCCGCTAAATATTTTCAGATTCTATAGTAAAGTAGAATCCCAACTTAAATTCCTTCCTTATAATACAGGTTTCTCTTCCCCTTTTACCCCTTCCTGTACATTAGAGAACTGCCACCCCCCTTTTTTTTTTTTTAATTTTGTTATTCATATGTGCATACAAGGCTTGGGTCATTTCTCCCCCCTGCCCCCACCCCCTCCCTCACCACCCACTCCACCCCCTCCCTCTTCCCCCCACCCCCTCAATACCCAGCAGAAACTATTTTGCCCTTATCTCTAATTTTGTTGTAGAGAGAGTATAAGCAATAATAGGAAAGAACAAGGGTTTTTGCTGGTTGAGATAAGGATAGCTATACAGGGCATTGACTCACATTGATTTCCTGTGCATGTGTGTTACCTTCTAGGTTAATTCTTTTTGATCTAACCTTTTCTCTAGTTCCTGGTCCCCTTTTCCTATTGGCCTCAGTTGCTTTAAGGTATCTGCTTTAGTTTCTCTGCGTTAAGGGCAACAAATGCTAGCTAATTTTTTAGGTGTCTTACCTATCCTCACCCCTCCCTTGTGTGCTCTCGCTTTTATCATGTGCTCAAAGTCCAATCCCATTGTTGTGTTTGCCCTTGATCTAATGTCCACATATGAGGGAGAACATAAGATTTTTGGTCTTTTGGGCCAGGCTAACCTCACTCAGAATGATGTTCTCCAATTCCATCCATTTACCAGCGAATGATAACATTTCGTTCTTCTTCATGGCTGCATAAAATTCCATTGTGTATAGATACCACATTTTCTTAATCCATTTGTCAGTGGTGGGGCATCTTGGCTGTTTCCATAACTTGGCTATTGTGAATAGTGCCGCAATAAACATGGGTGTGCAGGTGCCTCTGGAGTAACCTGTGTCACAGTCTTTTGGGTATATCCCCAAGAGTGGTATTGCTGGATCAAATGGTAGATCGATGTCTAGCTTTTTAAGTAGCCTCCAAATTTTTTTCCACAGTGGTTGTACTAGTTTATATTCCCACCAACAGTGTAAGAGGGTTCCTTTTTCCCCGCATCCTCACCAACACCTGTTGTTCTTGGTGTTGCTGATGATGGCTATTCTAACAGGGTGAGGTGGAATTTTAGTATGGTTTTAATTTGCATTTCTTTATTGCTAGAGATGGTGAGCGTTTTTTTATGTGTTTTTTGCCATTTGAATTTCTTCTTTTGAGAAAGTTCTGTTTAGTTCACTTGCCCACTTCTTTATTGGTTCATTAGTTTTGGGAGAATTTAGTTTTTTAAGTTCGCTGTATATTCTGGTTATCAGTCCTTTGTCTGATGTATAGCTGGCAAATATTTTCTCCACTCTGGGTGTTCTCTTCAGTTTAGAGACCATTTCTTTTGATGAACAGAAGCTTTTTAGCTTTATGAGGTCCCATTTATCTATGCTATCTCTTAGTTGCTGTGCTGCTGGGGTTTCATTGAGAAAGTTCTTACCTATACCTACTAACTCCAGAGTATTTCCTACTCTTTCCTGTATCAACTTTAGAGTTTGTGGTCTGATATTAAGATCCTTGATCCATTTTGAGTTAATCTTGGTATAGGGTGATATACATGGATCTAGTTTCAGTTTTTTGCAGACTGCTAACCAGTTTTTCCAGCAGTTTTTGTTGAAGAGGCTGCTATTTCTCCATCATATATTTTTAGCTCCTTTGTCAAAGACAAGTTGGTTATAGTTGTTTGGCTTCCTATCTGGGTCCTCTATTCTGTTCCACTGGTCTTCATGTCTGTTTTTGTGCCACCCGCTTCTGAGGCTGAACTTTGCCTCTTGATTACAGCAAGTTGTTGGATCCACCCATTTTGCCCTCTGGCACCTGTCATGCCTTCTAACACAACCAGAGTGGAACCAGCTGTGATTTCTCAAGGCATGCTGGGAGTTTCTAGAGGCTTCTCTCTTCCACTTGCCTCTGCTCTAGGAGGTCCTGAAGTCTTCCCAGTTCATAAAAATGAATGGTTTGTATCACAAAAGTCTTTGCTTCAACATCTCCCAAACTTCTTTACAATCAGATAATAAAGAGGTTTTTCTAAATGTGAACCCTCTTCTTTCTTTAAGCAGCTGAGAGTTGATCAGGCTGGAAATGCTACCCAAAGATAACTTTGGGTAAGAACTGCTTCACAGACTTCCCCAAAGCCAGTGACTGCACTCTCACCTTCTACATGAAATACATCCCCCCCTGAAGGAGGGCCCACAACAGGAAAAAGGAAACAGGACTCTGCAGACTGGATACAGCATCATTCAGATCTGGACTCTGCTAAAATACAGAATACCCCCCCCAATAGGCCAGTGTTACCCTACTGATTCCTCCTCCCCCAGAAGGATAGCCACCTCTTTGCACCAACCCTCTTCCTTTCCTCTGGTCTCAGAGGAAAGATCCAACCCTCCTCCCCATCACTATAAGGAACTCTTTCAGTCATTCTTTAATTCAGTGGTTAGAGAAAGCTAGATTTTGTAGAGTTAAAAACAGAGTATAAACTGGGCATGGTAATACGTGCCTATAATCCCAGCACTTGGGAGGTAGAGCAAGAGGATCTCGAGTTTGATGGTCTTGTTCTACTGTTCAAAAAAGCAAGGGCTGGGATGTAGGTCATCTTAGCCAATACCAAATTTATAATTTCCCTTCTAAACCACTTTTGCCTCTTATAGTTCCCATTTTGGCCAACCGTTTCCCATATTTAAAACCTGTAGAAATTTTTGTAACACTCTCTTCATTTGTTCCTCATATGAAATTATCACTGAAGCAAGGCATTTTCTTCAAATGTTTCTTATTTTTTCCTCTCAATTCATAATGCCACTTCCTTAGTCCAGGCCTTTAACTGATTCTTCCTGAAACAATACAGATCTCACGAATCTCTCCCCACTAAATTGCATCTTGCAGATGAATAGTTTTTATAAAATGCCATTTTTATTATGTCTTTACCATGCTTAAAGTCCAAACTTCAGCCTGACATTTCACACTTTCTATAATTTAGCCCTCCTCTCTTGCCACATACGATATTAATCAAAAGCTGACCTATTCTTCAAGTTGTATCTAAGGCACAATCACCTCCTAAAGTCTTTCAGACAATTCTACCCTGTACAAATCTCTAACCCAACACTGGCTAAAGCACTTGGCCAAACTTGTATGTAATTCAACATTGCAACATAACTTTTTTGTTCCATTTGAAATATGTAAATGTGAACTTTATAAATTCTTTGAGGGCAATAACAACAACATAGATCTCTTTTTCATCAGCATCAGCATCCTTAGCAGCCTTAAGCATAGACTACATACACAGTAAGTTTTATTGAACTGAAATTTAACTACACTGAACCTTGCCAATGTTTTTCATATAGGATTAGTATTAGATCTCAGTGAAAGATATGATGGCCAAGTTGAGATGCCCACCTACATTGCAGTATTGGTTATTTGGTTCTCCCCTTCACCAAAGCCTGGTACTTCAGCCCTCTGTCACCAGCTCTGGGATTTGTCTGGGTAAGGGATATCTTGTCTCCCCTCCACCCTAATCCCCATTCAACTCACTGGTTTCATGGTTACAGGCTTCTGATGATCTGTAGCTTCTGTTTTAAGACTTATGGTAGTCTCTACTGCTTCTGTTGTTACCTCTTTATCCAACCTGCTCTGCCCTCCATAGAATTGAGAAACACAGTTACCATCTCCTCCATCCAACATTCCAACAATCTCACAGATTCTCTTTTTAGAGTTCTTTTCCCCTTCACCCTCCATACCCTCCAACCACAGAACCATCCCATTCCCCCCCACACACACCCCCCACCAGTCCCCACCACCAAAGACTTAAAGTTCAAGTTCATTCCCCCTACCCTGATCTTGCATGGATTATGTATATACTGATCCTATTCAACAAGTTCCTTAACTGATCCTCTTTTCTTTTTTTTTTCTCTTGTGGTACTGGGGCTTGAACTCAGGGCCTTCACCTTAAGCCACTCCATCAGCCCTTTTTTTTGTGAAGGGTTTCTTGAGATAGGATCTCTCAAATTATTTGCCTGAGGCTTGAACTCAGGGCCTTTACCTTAAGCCACTCTACCAGCCCTTTTTTTTTGTGAAGGGTTTTTTTGAGATTGGGTCTCTCAAATTATTTGCCTGGGGCTTGAACTCAGGGCCTTTACCTTAAGCTACTCCACCAGCCCTTTTTTTTGTGAAGGGTTTTTTTTGAGATAAAGTCTCTCAAACTATTTGCCTGGGCTGGCTTCAAACTGTGATCCTGCTGACCTCTGCCTTCTGAGTAGCTAGGATTACAGACATGAGCCACCAGCGCCCAGCCTGACCCTCTTTCTTAGTGTCTTCGTAAACCTGTTGTGTACTGGCTTCCTTCTCCCCAGCTATAGTTACAAATAGTCTGCTTTGGATCTACTTCCTAGTTTCTTTCCATTTACCTAATTTTCACTTTTGCTAATCCATTGCATTTCAACATTGCCCAGTTTCTTTTTAAATATTATTTATTCTGACCCTCTTAGATGTAAAGGTCACTCACCAACCTGTCCTCTGACTCAAACACGGAGTAATCAAAGGTGAAATTTGCAATAAAGTCATCTGGGGAAGAGAAAAAAAAATAAATAGTAACAAAGGAGTAGAGGAACTTTAAATTCAGACATGAAAAAGTGAAGAAATTACTCAAGTTATAAATTTATTGGTATAAGCCACTTCTAACTAACTTTGATGTCAAAAATATTTGTGAAGCTGGGTACCGGTGCTTATACCTGTAATCCTAGGTACTCAGGAGGCAGAGATCAGGAGGTTCGAAATTCGAGGCCAGCCCAGGCAAATAGTTTGAGAGACCTTATGTCAAAAAAACCCATTATAAAAGAGGGCTGGTGGAGTGGCTCAAGGTGTAGGCCCTGTCAAACCCCAGGACTGAAAAAAAAGTTTGTGAATATATCTGCACTGCATTTATAGTTTCAAACTGGTATTTAGAATAATTGACAAATTTGGAATTTCCAAATTCTTTGAACCATCTTTCAAAGAATTAAAAATCACTAGCCTAGCCAGTTATGGTAGGGCACAACTGTGATCCCAGCTATTCAGGAGTCCGAAGCAGGAGGATCTCAAGTTTGAGGCCAGTCTGGATAAAGTTAACAAGACCCTATCTCAAAAACAAAAATACAAACACAAGGGCTGGGGGCATGGCTCAAGTGGGAGAGGCCTAGCATGCATGAGGCCCTGGGTTCAATCCCCAATACCTAAAAAACCATAAAGATAAAGATCACAAGCTTGAGAAATAACATCATGAGTCTTGATAGTTTTCATTCATATCTGAATTTCTCCCTGACCCAGTTTGTTTTGTTCTAAACAGAACTAAGTATTCCAGAAGTCTCTACTCCACTAAGGGTTGGAGCCTTTCATGTACTCACCATAATTAGGAGTGACTGTGTAATAATAGGCCACCTGATAATATTCATCCTCTTCTAGTCCTTCTTCATCCTCATATTCTTGTCCTATGGAGACAAGAACTTCAGGTCAAGGGGCATTTGGAACACTTTTTCAACACAAGGACACCTAGGGCTGATCCTAGCTCTACTAGTTGTACTTCTTTCTGCCTCCCTTTCAAGGGTCATATTATCTCTCTAGCTCTGTACCTCTAAACCCTCTCAGTGTTCTGGGCTCCCTATCTGTAATGAGGCCAGCTACTCTGTGCTCTTTCAGTCCAGGAACTCCTAGGACAGAAAACAGATCCCTTAACATACTATAAACCCAAAGAGAGAACTAAACCTAAAAGGAACATGAAACTAAAACCACCAAATCTTCTATTTAGTATGCCCCAGAATTTATTGTATTTGTGAGAGCTCTTCTCTTACCAGTGTCTCTCATAAATAATGAAATGTGAACATGAATATTCTCAGACTTTTAGATTTTGGTTTTAGTTCCAGCTTCACTATTAACTAGCAGAATAACCTTGAATAAGCCACTTAATATCCGTTTTCTTAAAATAAGTCAGCTGGATTAAATGACACATCGCCATTAGTTTTTCTTCCTTACCAAAACAAAAAATATGTTGCTGTGAAGATTGAATCCAGAACTCTAGGCCTCCTGCTAAACACTTCCCTGAGCTCCTTGAATGCTCTCTCTCCAACCCCAACCTAGTGAGACAAGAATCTAGAGGAAAGGGAAACAATGAGACACACCTGGCAGACTGAGGAACAAAGGAGGGAAGGAGCCAAGCTACTCTTGGGACCCTGTCCCTGAAGGCAGCCAGTTTTCAACTATCCTATAAGCCAACCCGCATCTATGTCTTTACTAACAGTAGTTTTTTTTTTTTTTTTTTCCTAGTCTCTGGAAAGGGAGACACCCTGGCTTTCCCCACTAGCTTCAGACTGCCCCAACTCTCAGCTTCACTTCTTCACCCCCCCCCCACCGGACTGGGGTTTGAATTTAGGCCCTACATCTTAAGCCACTCCACCAGCCCTCTTTTGTATTGGGTTTTATCGAGATAGGGTCTCAAAAACTATTTGTCCAGGCTGGCTTCTAACTACGATCCTCCAGATCTCTGCCTTCTGAATAGCTAGGATTACAGGCGTGAGCCACCAATGCTGGGCTCAGCTTCACTCTCTATTTGTCCCTCTCATCTTGTGCAACTTTATGGTGATGGAAAACTAAAGAGTTCAGTCTTGCTAATGGACCTCCCTTTGGAACTCCATCCTCCATCTGCTGCCTCTTCTTTGACAGACTCTGCTTTCTTTCCAGTTTCCTGGCTCTCCCTTCCAGATTACTGCTCTGATCCCAACACACTGGACTCTAGCACAGATGCCAAGACACTATCATTTCCCCCACTGAAATGCATCATTCACACACTTCTTTCTTTCTCTCTCTCTGTCTCTGTCTCTCTCTCTCTCCCCTACCTCCCACCCCATTTATGGTAGAAGCCCAGGCACAAAAGCTCAGGGAGAGAAGTGGACTTACCTAGGATAAGTGGCACAGCAAGGATGGCTACGAAGAGGACATCCATTCTGGACTTTGTACTATCTCTGTGAAAGTTAGAGGAAATTACACAGTTTCCCACCAAACTTACCCCGCCTCCCCCACAGTTCTAAAGGTGGGAGGGAGCTGCAGCCTCTCTTCTCTCACAGGACAGAAATCCGCCTACTTACTGACTCGATCTTCAGTTACTACTGTCTTCAGTCACAGCTGCCTGGATTGAGAGAGGCAAAAGTGGGTTGTGATGCAAACTGGCTCCTGGAGATCTTCCCAGTTCTAGATTAGGTCTTTTCAGGATTCCTGATGTTGCTACCAAAGTCTACCAAGAAAGACAGAGGTGTGGCTCAAGTAGTAGAGCGCCTGCTTTGCAAGTGTGAAGCCCTCAGTTCAAACCTCAATACCACTGTAGCCAGCAGGTGACGGTGCACAGTTGACCGTCAGTCAGGCGCTAAATGAATTAACTTAGGCAGGAACTAAGTTGCTCATACACACACTTTACTGCACGGGGTTACAACCTATGCCCTCAGCCTTCCCCAAACTGTGCTCACCTTGAGACGTCAATCTTAGGAATCTTAGTCTCCAGGCGGCTGGCTCCGACCCGGTCCTGGCTAGTTCTGTCTCGATAAGCCTCCAGGACGCCCAGGGAATCCGTCCGTCCGGCCGTGCAGAGTGTCCGGTCCACTTCGTCCGGGGGCTGCTCTTGACCTGCGTATTGCAGGTCAGGAGGAAGTGGCGTTGGTCTCCTGGCTAGTGGGGTTTAAATGTTAGTAGCAGGCCAGTTTATCAGCACCAGTTTAGGGTTAGCTGATTTGCATATCTGGCACCATATGGTGTTTGTGTACATTATAGGGCTTATAAGTGCACACAATATTGTTTTCCTATAAGTTTTACAATGTATTATATTTTATATATTTTTTCAATACGTTTAATGCACAGCAAACATAATACTCATAACCACCAAAAAAAAAAAAAAAAACAACTTGAACCAAAGTCTACCAAAAGTTCACCCTCTCCCTCCTTTTCTTATTCCTTTCCAGTTTCCCAGTCCTGATAAAAAGCTCACCCTCCCTCTTGCTGTCCTTAATTTATGATCGCCATCCAGAGTTGCCCTTCTGTGAGGCTTGAACATAGTTTCTTTTATTAAGGCCAGAAATGTTCAGAGGAAGGGGTGACCATTTTTTTTTCTAGACTGAACATAGTCCCTTTCCTCTGCCTGTCTTGGCTATGAAGGATGGTTGCAATGTTTACCCATTGTTTGACTCTCAAAGCACCTGCTGTATTGCTGCTGATAAAAATCTCTCTGCCAAGGCTAGTAATTTCCTCTCTGGTCAGTGTTTACCTCACCTCACCTCACCTTTTTCTCAACTTCCTGGACACAGGATGGAAGAAGAGAGGAAGCTGATAGTGTCTTTCCCTGTGGGAGGTGCCACACCCCATCTCCCACTTTCAGTCACTTGGGTGCTTTCCCTTCATTCAGGCCTAAAGAGGTATAGCTCCTATCACTCTGTCTGCTTCTCTATTTCCATTTTCATTCAATTCAATTCAGAAACAGTAACATATATGATAGGAACAGTGTGTGAGGTCTAGTCTGCTAGGCAATTCAGAGTTCACAGGCAAGGGGATAAAAAAATAATACTTTTTTTTTTTTTGAAATGGAGTTTTTAAATGCTTGCTCAACATCTACAATGAACCAGGAACTATGCAAGTCTCTGTGGAACCACCCATGAGGAGGGTAGGTTTACAGCCTTCTTTCAACTGTTCAGGAGATGCTCTAACAGCTTGAAGGAGGAAGAGAAGATTTGTCATATCCCTATTCTCCCTGACTCAGACTGCTGGACTCAGAGAAGTAGGCCACACTGGAGTCTTGCACACTGGTCAGGATATACCCATCCTCTCAACCATACTGGGGAAAGATTTGCTTGGTGATGTTCTGCAAAAACAGACTTCTCAGCTCCTTTCCAGAATTTCCCAGAAAAAGTGTAAAACATCTTTGTGAGCGTACACACATGCATGAAATCATGAATCACTTCCAGGAAGTCTGGTTCTCTTCAAACAACTTCTAACGTTTTTTGGTATTTGATTACACTCTCAAAAACAATATTCCAGATTCTCTCACTTTCCTGTCCTAGGACTTCTTTGCCTAAATATCTCTTCCCCGATCCTCCCCATCCAAATGAAGCGACCATACCTTCCTCTCCTACTTCAACTTTCTTTTGTTCTAACATGAAATCCCTCTCCCCAGCCTGAGGAAAAGACGCCACCGAAGCTCATTTTTCAGAAAATAAATAGAGGAAGTATGACATAAAAGGAACTGGGGGAAGGGGGGGCTGTTGTTTTCCCTTGACTCCATGGCTTTAATTGCTGAACTTTTTCTAAGCACATTCTTAACATTTCTCTCCGGATTCCTCTTGTTTCTCTCTGATTCAGATTACAGATGAAGGCTTCATTCGAGCCATTTTGTATTCCATGTTTCCTATACCAGCCTGTCCGAAGAGCTCCTACTTTAACTTTCATCCCTTAGGCAGCAGCTCTAGCCCATTTCCTCTTATTCAAGTAAGAACAATACCAGTCCCTATCTCCCTGCACCCTCTATCCTGTGCTCTTTTTATTTGTCCCTTAGATTCAAACAGGATCTTCCCGCTCTGTAACCCTTTAAAAAGAGGTAGGATTGCTCCCACCCGTCCCCACAAAGCAACGAAAGGAAACTGCGGCCAAGGCCACAATCAACCCAAGAATCTATGCAGGGGTCGGCCACCGTCCCCGCCCACCCCCTTAAACTAGCTGGAGCCACCCCCAGGACAAACTCCAGGGCTCAGAGTACCAAGAGACTACAATTCCCAGCAGGTCGTGCAGCCACGCCCGCACCTCTGCAGCTCCGCCCCCGTCAAATCTCCATTGGCCTTCCGGGGGCGGGGATTAGATGGGAGGTGGCCATGGGGCTGCGGCCGGGAATTGTCCCCTTTTCGGCTTCCGTAGACGAAGTACGGAGGATCGTCAACTGGGGTTTCGGTGCCCCCCCTTCCCCTTCCCCGGGGTCCGGGGGTGACATTGCACCGCGCGCGCCCCTGGTGGGGTTGCGTCGCCACCCCACAAGGATTCTCCAGCTGGCGCGCTCCTCCTGTTCGCCTCTCTTGACTGGGGGCTCCATCCCGCCCCCAGCTGCCCAGTCATGGGGGCTGCAGTGTTTTTCGGATGTACTTTCGTCGCGTTCGGCCCAGCCTTCGCGCTTTTCTTGATCACTGTGGCTGGGGACCCGCTTCGCGTTATCATCCTGGTCGCGGGGTGAGTAAGGGGGTAGTGGAGAGGCAGGGAGAACGTCGTAGAGAGAGGTGGAAAGGGCTAGAGGAACTGGGGCGAGCCTGGGAGCCTGAGTTGGGGGAGATGAGTCGGAGGTGAAGGTTGGACAGGGTCGGATCGGGGGGCCAGGTGATTTGCCATTTCCCGCAATTGGTTTCCGCCTCCCCGGGATTGCACAGATTCCTTCTATACTCCTCCCGGCGACGTCAGAGGAGGCCCAAGGCCGATTCGTGAGGGGGCTGTGCTAACCTCGGCCAGTCGAGTCTGGAGCTCTAAGGGAGGTTCCAGGAAGGGATACCTCGCCCTTCCGTGTCCGCACACACCGACTCTCCTCTCTCCGTAGACTCTAATCAGATTACTATCTCTTCCCCTGCGTGCAGATTCCAACAGATGAATCTCTTGGTGGAGGGAGACACCTACCCTATCTGGTCTCCCCGATCATCCGGAAATCTAACTTCCACTTTTCATGCTGCAACCTTGGCTGGTTCTCTTTGATTTCTCTGGCTGAACCAACCCTTGCCTGTCTCATTGCCCTTGTCTTTCCTCAGGGCATTTTTCTGGCTGGTTTCCCTGCTCCTGGCCTCTGTGGTCTGGTTCATCTTGGTCCATGTAACAGACCGGTCAGATGCCCGGCTCCAGTATGGCCTCCTGATTTTTGGTGCTGCTGTCTCTGTTCTTCTACAGGAGGTGTTCCGCTTTGCCTACTACAAGCTGCTTAAGTAAGGACAATGGGGTAATCTGGACGGGAGAGGGGCAGAGGACTGCACAACGGGAAGTGGGGCACCCCCTGGGTGGTGGTTTGGAAGAAGAGGCACGAAAGGAGGATGTTAGAGGGAAAGGAGCATCTCTGCTGTCCCTTATGTTTCCCCTACCCCACCCCAGGAAGGCAGATGAGGGGTTAGCATCGCTGAGTGAGGACGGAAGGTCACCGATCTCCATCCGCCAGATGGCCTATGGTGAGCCAAGGAAGAGGGACCCAAAGAGGGAGTTGGATACTCCCACTCTCTCCTTGGGAAATTTCTAAATATCCACATGTTCTAAGTGGCTTGTTTGCCTTAGGACTTGACTTCCAAGGAGAGGGGTTCTGGAGGGAGAATAGGTGTGGGAGAATTCTTACTGGGAATGGGGAGGGGGTCACTGGTAATGAGGTTATATGGTATATGACATTGATGAGACCCTCCCTCCCCCCAGTTTCTGGTCTGTCCTTCGGTATCATCAGTGGTGTCTTCTCTGTTATCAATATTTTGGCTGATGCACTTGGGCCAGGTGTGGTTGGGATCCATGGAGACTCTCCGTATTACTTCCTGACTTCAGGTAAGGCTCACTTCCAATCTTGCCTTCATGCCCTATCCATCCCTGGCCCTGATCTGATTTACTGGCCTTCCCTGGGAGACTTCTTTGGCTCAATATCTCAGGAGGCTAGGAGAAGATCAGGGATGTATCTCATCCCAATCTCCCTCCCTGCAGCCTTTCTCACAGCAGCCATTATCCTGCTCCATACCTTTTGGGGAGTTGTGTTCTTTGATGCCTGTGAGAGGAGACGGTACTGGGCTTTGGGCCTGGTGGTTGGGAGTCACCTACTGACATCAGGACTGGTGAGTTGGAGATAGGGGCCTGAATTAGGGAGAAAAGCATTTAATGGTGAGTGAGATGGAGGGAGGGAGGCGTGCCCTCACTTCATAACATTTTAACTGGGTCAGAGGCCAAAAGGTGAGTCTCTAGAGGTCTGTTACCTCAACATCAGTTATGTCACTTGCTCTGGAATGGATTAGTTAAACTAAAGCAATGGGCTTGATGTGAACAGAAGTGGCCAAAACCTTTGAGGGAGTAAAAATCAAACATCCCCTTCACCACTAGATGTTGGTGCTCTGAAAGGAAAGATAGGAATTTGAGTGAGATATCTGGGAGGAGGTTTGGGTCAGAGGCATAAAATAAATGTGGGGATTAGGTGGGGGGAGAAACTAACCTGATTTCTACCCTCATTCGCAGACATTCTTGAACCCTTGGTATGAGGCCAGCCTGCTGCCCATCTATGCAGTCACTGTTTCCATGGGGCTCTGGGCTTTCATCACAGCTGGAGGGTCCCTCCGAAGTATCCAGCGCAGCCTTTCGTGTAAGGACTGACTACCTGGACTGATCGCCTGACAGATCCCACCTGCTTGTCCACTGCCCATGACTGAACCCAGCCCTAGCCCAGGTCCATTGCCCACGTCCTCCATCTCCTCGTTGATCTGTCCCACCACCTTCTGGGTTTTGCTTTGTCCATTTTTGACCTTTAGTCTCTGAGCTTTACCAGGAGCAGCCTGGTGGGTTTAAGTCTGCACTTATCCCCACCACCTGGGGCCCCTCCTTGTTGTCCAGGACTCCCCATGTGTCAGTGCTCTGCTCTCACCCTGCCCATGACTCACCCCCCTTCCCCTCTGCAGGCCGACGGCAGGAGGACAGTCGGGTGATGGTGTATTCTGCCCTGCGCATCCCACCCGAGGACTGAGGGAACCTGGGGGGGAACCCCTGGGCCTGGGGTGCCCTCCTGATCTCCTCGCCCTGTATTTCTCCATCTCCAGTTCTGAACAGTGCAGGTTGCCAAGAAAAGGGACCTAGTTTAGCTATTGCCCTGGAGATGAAATAATGGAGGCTCAAGGGTAGATGAGCTCTGAGTTTTCCAGTACCTCTTCCCCAGACTGGACATCTTGGTCTTTTTCTCAGGTCTGAAGGGAACCATTTTTGGTGTGATAAAGACCCCAAACTGCCTTTTTTTTTTTTTTTTTAAAGTAAGGGGAGGGAGGAGGTATGTTGGAACTCTTCTAACCTCCTTGGGCTACATTTTCCCTCAAATTACTTCTCCTGGCTGGGCTCATTTCTGTCACTTTTCCCTATGGTTTCAGAGCCTGGGGGAAGGAAGGAAGTGCATGTTTGGGAACTGGTATTACTGGAACTAGTGGTTTAACCTCCTGACCACCAGCATCCCTCCTCTCCCCAAGGTGAAGTGGAGGGTGCTGTGGGGAGCTGGCCCACTCCAGTGCTTCAGTGCCACTGGAGGAGTCAGGCTACCATGACACTGGGCAAGGGCAGATTTTTTCTAGTTTTTAATTGGGGTGTGGGAGGGGTGGGAAGGTTTTCTATAAAAACTGTATCATTTTCTGCTGAGGGTGGAGTGTCCCATCCTTTTAATCAAGGTGATTGTGATTTTGACTAATAAAAAGGACTTTATAATTATGGGGGAACTTGGCTTTTAAGGGAAGGGATAACATATTAATTGAGATTTCTGCCTTCCTATGTCTCTTGTTCAATCTCCTTCTTAACCTGGCAACCACTGATCTCTAAGCATAGCTTTGGTGCAATGGCAGAAATCTGGGCTTGTGGTTTAATGTGTAGTAACTAGGTTTCATATCTTCCCAGAAGTAGATCTCTCATTCCAGGGGTTGGGATAAAAGGAATTAATCACCCAGGCTTCTTTATCCTTATCCTTTGTCCATTTCTATCACATGAAGGATTAAGGAACTGCCCCACCTTCAAGAGCCCTAAAGGATAGATTAGCAATGAGGTCAGAAATTTTAATTTCCAAATATACTGAGCAAAAAAGAAATATATAACCCCAACAGCAGCCCTTTTCCCTAAAGGAAGTTCCTGCAGTATATCTAGATGATGAGACAGTATATCTAGGGGTAAGGGTTGGGGGACTTTGGGTCACTTCTACAACTTCCCTTACAACTAAACATAGCTTGCCTTCTGTGTTAGTATACATGGATCTTCTGATCTCCTCCCACATGCTCTGAGAGGCCAAAGGTTCTGTTCTTTTTCCCTCTGGGTCCTTACCTCTATGGGGTGGAAGATGTCCAAAGGGACAGGTATCTGGCTACTACTCCTAGCTGTGTTTTCTGACCAGTCCCCACACCCCATTGCAGAGGCTCCCTGATAGGTGTGAGGGGAGGACATCTGTGATATCTGAGAGGAAGTTTATGCCTCTGTGGCGGCTCGTGCTGAGGTGAAGACAACACTCTTCCGGTTTCCCAGCCTCTTCTTCCTAGAAGTATAGTTTATGGAAGTGACTTCTGTCCTAAGTGAAGAAGATTAGGTGGAACAGTAGATTGCTTTTTTTTAAAGGAAAAGAATTTGGTGTTTTAAATGTACCAGCATTCACATCCATTAGGCTATCTATGCCTTTTTTTTTCTTAGAATGTATTAGTTGTAAAAATAATTGGTTTCATTATGACAGTTTCATACAGGTATATAATGTATTTTGATCATATTTATGCCCCTATTACCCTCTCTTGTCTGCCCCACCCCCGCCACCATCCTGAGAATGCTTTTTTTTTTTTTGGTGGGTCCAGAGTTTGGACTTAGGACCTCACGCTTGCAAAGCAGGTGCTCTACCACTTGAGCCACACCTCGTCTATTTTGCTCTGGTTATTTTGGAGATGGGGGGCGGGGGGTGTCTCTCTCTAGCTATTTGCCTGGGCTGGCCTCAAACCTTGATCCTCCTGATTGCAACCTCCCAAGTAGCTAGGATTATAGGTTCCTGGCTCTGAGAATGCTTTTTACAGAAAAGAAAGTCCCACAGGAATAGAATATAGGATCTCACCGAATCTTTCGAGCAATGAGATACACCGCTAGCAGGAGGCAGAGACAGCCAACCAATATTCCCACACCTAGACTCAGCATTTCACCTGGGGAAAGATGGAAGTTGTCAGCCTAAGACTGACATAAATATTGAGCCTTTTTGCATCTTGCTGAGGATCACCTCTGCCTGCCTCCCCCTCCCCCACACCGAAAGTTTCTGAGTTGGGTTCTCTTACCTGTGGTGTACAAGGATCCCTCTGTAGGAAAAGAACACTTGGATCAGTGGGGCTTCAGTTCTATACCCAGCTGGTAACAGCATGCTTTTTTTTAAATGCCTTACAATATAACCTAGATACCTGTGACAGTGGAGGGGAGAGGGGATTCCCAGTCCAAGTAAGTACTGGAAGCCCCTTTACCTTCTCAGGGGCTCCCTAGCTCCTGCTTTTGAGCCCTTGGTTTCCCATCCTTTCTGAGCCCTGCACCATCACCTTGGGTGAAAGAAGTAAAGATGATCCGCTGATTGAGTGGCTGGGGAGCTCGGTAGTTCTGTACGAGGGGCTCAGAGGGCTCTCCTTCTGTGGAAAACAGTGTCTCCTGAAGCTTTTCCAGCTGAGGAGCAGAAGAGTGGGAGAAGTCACTTTTGGGGATGGGAAAGGGCCAGAAGTTATAATTATGTCTCGTCCTTCACCTCTCTACCACTCACCTGTTCCATTGAAATCTGGGCCTTTAGATTGAAGACTGTCCAGAGCACACTTTGATAGCAGGGGGGAGTTGTGAGTGAGCCATTGTAACGGAAGAACTGCTCCAGCTGTGGGGGAAGTAGCTCTCTCATATTGAAGGGAGGCACTGAGGTCTTCTGATCTGGGGAGAACAGACTAGGACTCATCTTCCTCTCGCTGCACTCTTGCTTACCTAGAGTTCCCTGAAGCAAAACCTAATGGCCCTAACTCATTGCCTCCTCCCAAGGCCTTTCAGGACAGTTTTAAAGTTTACCTAAGTCTAATACTTAGACTTGTAGGGCTCACCTTTATGTCTGATTTCATGCAAATGACTCAGAATGTGTTCATAAGCTGGATTCTCAGTCTCACCCATCTGGAAGGGGAGGGAGAGAAGGGAATGTGGGATCAGTCCATGTTTGGATTATATTCAGTACAGAGTAAATGCTCAAGGTTGGCTGCTGTCTACCTGCAGCAGGGGAGTGTTGGGGGGCGGGCAGCAACAGAATAGGCCTAAGAAATGCAGAAGAGAGACCTGGAAGGGGTTGGGGACCACTGACCTCAATTAGGATGCCCAGAACAGCCAGGCCCTGAGGTTTCTGGGCAGCCTCACTCAAGTTGCTGTAGGAATCAGAGTCATAATGTACAATGTGGAGCTGAGGAAAGGGAGAGGGAGCTCAGTCTTTTAATGTTTTCCCACTTCCTCCAAGGCCTTTGCCCTAGCAACCTCCACAACTCCAAGCATGCCCTAAGGCTGCCCCCCCCCCCCAGAGCTTGTTCTCATCCTTCTGTATGGCTTTTTGCAGTGTCCAGATTCTTTTCCCAGGACCGACCATCCCTGTGTTGTTTCTGTGTCCGAGCTCTTTGTTCTCTGGTACCTCTGCCGCTGTGGCTTCACTGTTGATCTGGTGTTCCGATCCCACTGGGGTTCCTTTCTGACCCCAGTGCAGGTGGAGCTGGGCAGCTACATATTTTCGGGGTAGTCCACCCAGATACAGGGTAGGGGGTAGAGAGAGTTGCACTACGAGGAAAAGAGCAAGCCAGGATTGGTGGAGGAATGTGGGCTACTCCCACCCATAGTTGCCACCACTTCTTGGGAGACTTAACCCTTCTCTTCCATCTTCTTCCCCCCAGTATTACTCAGCTCCTCCCACAGGCCAATGCTTTTCTACCATAGATTTCCCTCTTTTCAGTGATGATCAAGTCAATGTTAGGACACTACCTACCCACTGAGCTGGGTCATAGACATTGGATTCCCACCTTGGCTACAGAAGCCTGATCCCTATCCTCAGATCTCCAAATTCATGGATAGAACTTTCTGAGAATTCACAAGTTTTGAGAGTGTTTCTTTCCCCTGAATCCTCTAAGATTTGAACTGGACTCTGCAACTCTGTGGAGCCTAGGCTTTTACCTGTGTGGCCATTATTGTGCAGGTCCAAAGGCTCAGTACCAGGCTGATCATATCCATAGGGTTGCAGAGCAGGTAATTCAGGGTCAAATGTCACACTGTCTGTCTGGATATCGATGGGGGACTGGGCATTGCTTCCACACTCAGGGTAAGAGGCTGGCCAATGGTCCTGACCATGTGGGCCTGGTGGGGGTTACCATGGATATTTGTCCTGCCCTCCAACTCCGGCCACCCTTCAACACCCCCCACCAAGTTCTCCATCTGTGTGGAGGTAAAAATGCACTTCCCTTCACCCAGCTGGGTAGGGCTGGGTAAAGTAAGAGTCTCTGCTGGAATTCATGCTGCAGTTCCCCTTGCCTACCTAGAGGTAGGGATGATTCCCCAACACCAGGATAATGGGGGAGTTGTGGCTCTTTTACTTACCTATAGTTTGAGGGCAAGGAAGTTGAATGAGGGGAAGAGAAGATGGATAGAAAGCCTGAATGCCCAGAGAGGTAGGATTAGAGAGTAGGAGTAATAAAATGAGGGGAAATAAATGATCCTAGAGAAATGGGGGAATAAATGACCCCCCAATGACCCATCAAGTGGTCTTGGGATTTAGATATTCTGACTTTATATCATTCACTTCTTGCTCTCACACCAGACCTTTGACTCTTGAGTTTGGTTAGGTTAGTATATCAAAGGGATTGAGTTCCACCTTCTCCAGTCACAATCTATTCTGCCAATGTCTTCCTCACCCTTTGCAGTAAGCTTAGTCCAATTTCAGAGGCAGGTTGGCGGCAGGACTGATGAGGATAGAGAGCCAGGAGAATGACAGCTAAGCTCAGGGTTCCTCTCCCCAGCCAGTTTTCTTTCCACTCCAACTCCCTCACTCCCACACTGATTTACTGAGGACTCAACAGACTTTTATGCTGAATCAGGAGGTGTGGGATTTAATGATTAAAACAGGGTCTAGGAGCCATATATGCAAAACCCAGGGCACAGTGAGATGGAAGAGAGGGCTAGCGTGTGACACTAAAGGAAACCTCCCCTCCCACAGGACAAGTCTTCCTGCCAGGTGAGGAGGTCTCATGGTGAAAAGGGAGTCAGTAGACCTGGAGTTCTGCTCTCACCTTCATATGTCCAGTGGTGACCTGCAAGGCAGAGTGATCTGGGTTACAACCAGTGCAGCCTGGAGCAGGGGCCTGGCCTCCTCTCTCCTCTCCCTCTGGTGCCCCTCCTTCTCTGCTTTCTCCTCCTTCCATTCCAGCACTTCTCAAAGGAAGCCCTGAAACTGGACACCTTGGTGGAAAGGCAGGGGGGCCGCTGTTTAAATTCACTAGCCAGGCTGTGCTTGTGCTTGCTGAGTAAAGAGGGAGGAAGAATGAAAAGAGATAATGCTGGGAGACTAAAATTAACCTGGATCCAAATGTGCCGTAAGGCCCAACCCTAACTTTTCTCCAGCCTGGGCCGAGTCAATCTAACACTTAGAAGATTGGGGTGGGGTGGGTGAGGGTGTGGGCAGAGGGTTTGGAAGATACAGACCAGAAAGAGGGGGAAGAAAGGGAGTTCAGTGTGTGTGTGTGTGTGTGTGTGTGTGTGTGTGTGTGTGTGAAGTTGCTACCGAGGAAAGAAGGAAGACTTATTCCTTTACCTTGAAGCATTGCATGAATGAGGGCACTGAGCTGTAAATTACATTCTTCCTTTTTAATCCCACTAACTCTAGAGGAAAGTCCCCACCACCAGGATCCCTTGCTCCCCACATTTCCAGATGGCTCAGGAAGGGCGGGAGTCAGGGCAGGGTCTACTCTATGTTGAGAGTGGTGGGTGGGCACAGGCAGCCAGGCTGGCAGGGACAGATGAAAGTGAAGCATTGTGTGTAGAAAAGAGAGCTGCCAACTGGGTCATATGCTAGGTTCTCGTGCAGTCCTGTCTCTTGCTGAAAGGCTGGGGGTCTGCAGGTCTAGCCCCCTACCCAGGGCCAAACTGCTTTGAGAAGAAAGGGAGATTTTAATTGCAGTATTTAAACTGCCAGCTGAGGAAATGGAGAGGGAACTCAGTCATTTAATGTTTTCCCACTTCCTCCAAGGCCTTTGCCCTAGCAACCTCCACAACTCCAAGCATGCCCTAAGGCTGTCCCCCCAGAACTTGTCCTCATCCCTCTGGATGACTTTTCCCAGTGTCCAGATTGTTTCTTTTCCCAGAACAACCTCTGGAGAAAAATTCTAAATTCTTTTCCCTATCTCTCTACCACTCCCCTAGATTTCTCAGACTTTTAAGATGTCTTGGATCTCATCTTTGGTTCATTCCAAAGGCCCGTTCCCTAACTCAGATAACTGAAAAACAGCCCAAGGAAGGCTCTCATTTACCAGCTTTGTGGGATATCCCAACAACTAGAATTTCCTGGTTCTATGAAGGTGCCCTTCCCCTCTCATCAAATCCCCCACACTGATTCTACATCTCTTCGTTCTTTCCCTGTTTTGTTTTCTCCTCACATGAAATTTGTGACTCTTCATTTGGTTCCCTTTGCCCCTCCATCGTCTTAGTTCTGCTCTCTAGACACTCTCATCTTCCAACAAACCTTAATTGCTCACCTACTATGTGCTGGGTACTGCACTAGGCATAGGAAACAAAAATGAGGTACAGGAGTCCCTTGGGACACTCCTGGAACACCTTGGCCTGTTCTCCCAAGAGTTTCTCCTTATTGCCTAGGAGCTCCTCAAAGTCCTTTGTAAACTATAAAAGGCCAAACAAATGGCAAATATTATTGCCATTACTTCTAGGGAAACTGCAAATTAGTCAGTTGTTCCATAGAATCAAGAGGGGACCTTGGTCTGCTGGCTGGCAATGAGGTGATCAGATGATCAGTTTGTGATCAGGGTCTGAGGTGGACAGGCCATGTAGGGTATGCTCTCCCCTCCCCCACCCCTGAATTCTTTGTCTTCCTAATCAGCAGAGTTCATAAATAAAGAAAGCCGGGAGGGCTGCTTGGAACTAGGTGGTGGGGAAAGAGGAGCTATGCAGAGAGTCTGTAGCCTGCAAACACATAAAGAAATTCCTGCACATGTGTGTGTGCACGCCCTGCCCCGGGCTAGTTCTCCCCAATCCCCCATAAGGTAAAGGAGAAAGGTAAAGGAGAAAGAAGGGGGATAGTCTCTTTCATACTTCTTTCTCCCTCACCTATGAGCTTATTATTACAGCCCCTAGGCTTCCTTTCACACTCCTCCTCCCCCCACTAAGCACACACAGCATGTGGACATTAGCCCAGACTCACACATAGACATCCAGTTGTACCTACCCCCATCTGCAGCCAGGATCCAAGTCACCTCTAACAGGAGGGTGAAGAACAACATGGTATCCCCAGGATAGGGCACAGGGGACCAGGAATTTGGGGACTAGAGAACTAAAGAAGGGAAGGCAGAGGAAGAAAGGGAGAGAGGGAAGGGAGTGGGGAGAGACAGAGAAGTTTCTGGTGTTGAATAGATTTATCTCTTTTCTCTTGCTGTCTCTGTGTCTCTGCGGCCTTGATTATCCATAGGGTACCACGGATTTTTCTGGGTCCCAGGATTAATCTCTTGCTGCCTTTCTCAGTGCCCTTCTCTTTATCTGCCTCTGCAGTCTCCTCTCCACTTGCTGGCCAGCGACTTCACAATTGCCTCCCGCTTTTAAGGTGGCTCTGGACGGGTGTACGTGGGGAGGGGGGGGTGTCTGGGCTGCTGGCAGGCAGTTCCTTAAATAGCCGATTAGGCATGCAGGATGGCCCCGTGCAGGAGCCCTGGCCCTGGCTCAGGAGCCCAGCTGGGGTGAGCTCTTCCTTCCTCTGCTATTCAACAAGCGCTCAGATGGGTGTCCCTGGAGCAGGCAGGGGCGAGGAAGGGAGGCTTTGGGGCCCAATCCAGACCCCTCAAAAGGACACTATGTTCTCATTTCTATCCTGGGAGTTATAGGGCAGCTGGTGGGGGGACCTGTTTCCACACCCCTGCAGAACCTGAGTTGCCCTGGAGTAGAAAATGTCCAGAGTTCGGAGACTGGACACAGACAGAAGGAGCTGGGGACTTGGGGTGCAGTTGGTGGGGGGCGGGGGCGGTGGGAAGTCAAATCTCAAACCTAGGTTGTGGAGAATAAGAGAATTGAAGCAAGAACTTGTCCTGAGCACTTTCTCCTGTGCCTGTCACCACCCCCTTCCCACGGTAAGGCCTGAGTCCACGTGCCTGTGTGGCCTGGGGGGGATGGTGGTTTTGTTTGCTGTATAAAGCCCATTTGTGTGCCCAGTGGGGGAGGGGCTATGGCAGCACCATGGAGAGACAGCGGCTCTAACTGCCAGACCCAACCACCTCCCTCCCTAGAGAGCCCAGATCTAGGGCGGCTTTTGTCACTGAAGAGGACACTGACCCCTAGTCGAGAGGCCCAAGCAGGAGGATAGATGGGAAGACTGTAGAAACAGTCACTACCATCATCAGAAAAAGACAGACTCCAGAGAAAGAGGGGAGGGACTAGAGAGAGACCATGTGATCCAGATGGAAGAGGGGCTTAGGGTCTTCCCTTCTGCTCAACAAAGGGTGGAGGCAGGACCAGTGGGACTGGGTGAAACCTGCCACCATGGAGCTGGGCCAGTGGAACATGGAGTCTGAGCATCTGTCTCAGGAATGTGGGCTGCTGTGCACTCTCCCACGGGACTGGAAATCCCGATTGGAATGTACATCCTAAATCCCTCATTAGAGAATGTGAAAACCACAGATAATTTCAAGCTGGACATTGAAAACATTTTCTCCTCCATCTTCTTTAACTGGAGTCACCAGCCGGGAGGATGAACTCATTTGAGCTTCCTCTGCCCTCCTTGCACCTACCTGGTAGAAATAAATAGCCAAAACAAAGGGAGCAGCAGCTAAATAAGGGAGCAGGATAAAAGCCAAATGAACAGAATAATGCATGTGCTGGATCATCAGCTCCTGCAGAGACAGGAGCCTGCTGAGCCTTTCTGTCCCCTGTGATTGATCTGCAAAGCAAAGCCATTTTGCAGATGTCACTTCCTTTTTTATTCTCTTATCACCCTCCAGATCACTTTCCCCTACAGGAAAGTTTTCTGTTTTGAGATTCCCCCAGAGTTCCATCCATCCCACCTATGAAGAATAAAAGGCAGATACCACAAACTAGACTTCTTTGGAATCAAGGAGGTTCACACAGATGGGGAAGAAAAAAAAAAAAAAAAGTAAGCAGAGACATCTTTCATATGGTAGGGAAGAAGTTTGGACAGAATGACCTCTGCCAGGACACAATTCCCCTAGAGAGTGGGGCTGAGATTCAGCCTCCCAAGGCAGGTAGTGTGCCTTGCAAGGCGCCACCTCCTGGCTCATCTCTAAATTTAAATTTTTTAATTTAAAATGTTTTGTGTCTGATTCCTTCTGGGAAGTATTTACTGATGGTGGGCTTGGGGATTTTGCCCACACAATTGAACATGGCTTCACAATGATGTCTTAGCCTCAAATTCATACTTCCAGCTTCTGAGTGAGTAGACCCTCCAGGTGCTCGTGCTCCCAAACAGACAAAGGCACTGATTTCTAGAAGAGAGGGAAAATGAGATCAGAAATTTGACTTTATTTCGATCCTTGGCTTTATTGTGAATACTTCAATTGTTGCTTTCTAGCTGTGCTGATTTGGAGAAAGTGCAAAAGTGTCCTAATATGTTAATAAGTAAAAAAGTGACCCTGCCTCTCATCTCTCCCTCTCTTAGTTTCTCCTCAAACTCTGGCATCTTTGTTTCAGTTTTGCCTTTCTCCCTCTCAAGCCCTTTTCTCACTTGGAGGTGATGGAATTTCTACTAAAGCCAAGACATTCCACTATCTTCTAGCGCCATCTCCTGTCCTTGCAAACGCAGTGAAATGAAGAGACAAGTATTAAAGTTTGGTGGGTGACTTTTTTGTTTGCTTTTCTTAAAAGGTTTTAACCTAGATATTTAAACTCACTAGTTTAAAACATTACAGGAACCTATTAAATACTCTGAGTTTGTGTGGTGGGATTTATGGGAGTTCAACAAAAGAGGGAGGCAAATTAAAACAAAAAAAATGGTTACAGAGGAATTTATTCAAACAGTACAGGTGGTAACTAATTGCTGAGAAGAAAATATCAGTGAGGAGACAGAATTAGATTTTCTGAAAAGCTAATAACACTGTGCCATGAGGTAGATGTAGACTCAGAGACTTTCTTTTGTTTTTTTGTGATACTAGGGTTTGAACTGAGGGCCTCATGCTTGCTAGGCAGGTGTTCTACTTAAACCACTCCACCAGCCCAATCCAGAGAAATTCTAATTTGACAGGTAATCACATTTAGTATTACAGGCTTGTCTTGTAACATATTAGTATTGAAGTCCCTTAAACAAATACAGGCGTGTTCAAGAATTAAAGTCAGCTGGCAGAGTGGCTCAAGTGGTAGAGTATCTGTCTAGCAAGTATAAGGCCTGGAGTTCAAACCCCAGTACAGCCAAAAAAAAAAAATCAGAAATAAAATTAAAAAAAAAAAAGAATTAAAGTCAAAGTAATTGGAGGGAGTGAGGGGAAATAGGCTGGTCATAATTCTTGGGATCATTTTTTTCACTTTTTCCAGTTCACATGGCACAGTAAATGCAGTATGAGAATCTTGTAGAAAGAGGACTGTAAAAGTTTGTGGTCTGAAATATTTTGACTTGTTTAATTAAGAAGGAGTAGCTCTGTGTCATGCATCAATCTCATTCATGCATAGAACACTTCCTGGTGCATAAATATTTGTTGATTAAATGAATGAATTTAGTCATCAGAACAGTTATTTATTTCTTTCTGTCTCTGGTATTTCACAGAATTTTAGACTAGAAGGGCACTCAGGCATCATTCCAAACTCTTTGTTATGCCTGTAGAGAATAATTTTGAGGGACTTAGGGAATCACCTGTGGTTGGTCAGATAGATGTGGCCGATCAGATAAACCAGAACAAGGACACAGGCACCAGTGAGCTTTCCCCTATATCACTGGTTCTCAAACTTTTGTGCAGATCAGAATCACCTGGAAAGCTTGTTAGACACCAAGCTTCTGGCTCTCATTCTCACAGTTCCTGATTATGCAGATGTGGGGTATGTACAGGGATTTGCATTTCTAACAGGCACCCAGGCAATGCTGATGCTGTTGGTCTCCTGGACCACATCTGTGAACCTCTGCCCCATGGCAACTGGACAAGCAGAGGTAGTGAGGTTGTCATTCTCTGTAGGGATTTCAGCCATCAGCAATCACTCCTTGCAATCATTGTTTTCTCTGAGGGTAGCAACAATTTCCTCACTAGTTTACAAAAATATATTAAGTACTTCTAGGTGCTGGGTATTATGTCATTACCTGTAAGTACAAAAACAAATAATACATAATCCCTGTCCTCAAGAACCACGAAACTGCTGAGTGTCGATGATGGCTCATGCTTGCAATCCTAGCTACTCAGGAGGCAGAGATCAGGAGGATCTTGGTTCGAAGTAGCTCCAGCCAAATAGTTCAGGAGACCCTATCTTGAAAAAACCCTTCACAAAAATAGGGCTGGTGGAATGGCTCAAGCAGTAGGAGCATGTGAAGTCCTGAGTTCAAATCCCAGTGCTGCCAAAGAAAAGAAGAGAAAACCACAAAAATCTCTCAGGGATGTAGATACTTTATTCAAACTACTAGAGTGGTGAGAAGTTCTAAACAGTGGCGGAGCAAAGCTCCAAGGTGTGGTGGGGACGCCAAGGTAGAGGTGGGGAATGATTAGCACTGAGACTATTTTTCCTATCAGCAGTCTTTTGGCAGGATGGCAACATAACCATGGGAGTTTAACCAGGTTTTATACATATACATACATACATACATACATACATATACATATATATATATATATATTTTTTTTTATGAGACTGGGGTTTGAATTCAGGGCTTCATGCTTGCAAGGTGGGCCCTCTACTGCCTGAATCTCATCCCAGTCCATTTTGCTCTGGTTATTATTTTGGAGATGGGGGTCTTGAGAACTTTCTGCCCAGGCTGGCCTGGAACTGAGATCCTCCGATCTCAGCTTCCCAAGTAGTTAGGATTACAGGGGTGAGCCCTTGGCACCTGGCTAATAGTTTTTAAATTAAAGTTAATTTCTAAGGCAACATCTGCAAAAGTGAAATGAGCCTCATTTTTCTACCAACCAACCTGCTTATTATTTTATGCATCTACAATTTTGATAAGTAGCACTATCATAGGTTGCTTATACATGTTCACACATTTGGAAAGAATTGATCTTTTTGCTGCGTTTTTTTTGACACAGGGTCTTGCTATGTGAGGCTAGCCTTGAACGCTCATCCTCAGTCTCCTGAGTGCTGGGATTACAGGCATGTAACACAATATTTACCTTTTTTTTTTTTTTGATGGTGCTGGGATCAAAGCCAGGACCTTGCAAATGGGGAGCAAGTGGTCTCCTACTTGAGCTGCATCCTCAGCCGCATTTACTCCTTTTAAAAAAAATAAATAAAAAGAGGGCTGGCAGAGTGTCTCAAGCAGTAAAGTACCTAGCAAATGTGAAGCCCTGACTTCAAACCCCAGGGCTGCCAAAATAAATACAGAAAATAATCACTTGGAATTGGCTCCAGCATGGTAGAGAACATCAGCTCTTAGCAATGACTTGTTAGCTTTTCATTTCTATTTTCAATTATAAAATGTGATTTTAATACTTAATGAACAATTTAATAGTTGGTTTTGATTATTTTAAATTTGCAAGTAATACCTAATTAGGAAAGATAGAATATGCAAAGAA